AGACGATTTCTCACGGTCTGGGTACTGAACTGTTGACGAGGAAGCCAAAGACGTTTCAAGGTTGTGCTTGTAGCAAATGGATGACGCCTTACCACCCTCAACAACGCTCTGTCATCTCTAACTGTGGTCTTACGTGGTCTGCCAGAGGGTCTGCGATTCCTTTCATCATTAGTTTGTGCGTGTTTTCTGACCAAACGGCTTATTGTTGTGTAGTGATGTCCGGTTCTTCTGCCAATCTCCTTGAACGAAAGACCTGCTCCATGAAGGCCAATAATCTGCCACTTGACTGCTTCTGACAATCGTCTACCCGGCATTGTGGGTTACAATAAACTGGGCTGTCAGAGAACATCTTTTATAGGCGATGTTGAGCTTAAGAAGATACTGCAATCTGCAAATGTCATGCACCATGCAATTCACGTGCTGATTGCTACGTTTTGGTGATCATCTTCCCTCCGAAAACATTACACATTTAACATCAGATCCCCAAGGAATACCTACCATTAAAACCAGAGTCGGGCGTTTTAAATGTTGTGATGTATCAAACGTATTAATGTGGGGGTGCAACACTTTTTTTACTGTGTATACATTATGATAAATTTCATCTCAAATGTTCAATTCACTCTTTATCCCGGCCTGAGGAGATGGCCAACCGCATCTAGAAACTGCATTGGGGATTTCACCTCTCTATTCTGCCTCTCTGTACACTCTCTTCCTGCCTCTGTCCACCGCCACAAATCGGTAGATGTTGGGATGTCGGTGAGGGAGACCTCGATTGAGTTGGTTATGAAAGCCTTCCAGGTTGTTGTTCGTCATGGGACCTGTTGTACCATGATGGTTCCACAGTGGTAGAGGGAATCGTGCTCCGTGGTCGACCCAGGTAGTGACGATGTAGTCGTTGAAGGCGACAGCTCTTGGTACATCTGGTGTGTTGTCCATTGCGTCAACCCACGTGTCCTGGATCTTGTTCTGGGGGAGTAGGGGTGCTCATAAACCGGACCTTCTGGCTATCCTCAGGGGCATGGTTATGCTCTGTAGCATTCCTCATCACGGTTCCTACTGTCGTGAGTTCTTAGTGTGAAGATAACCATCAAATAGGACTTGGGGCTTTCCTCTCTGTGACATAACAAACTCAACATTGCGAAGACCAGCCATGTTGATGTCATGATAGTACTTACTTACTTACTTACTTTGGAGATTTAACGTGCGCTTTCCGACTGATGCGTATTTCGCACACGGGCCCGGCCAGGCCATTTAATGTGTTTCCGAAAGGGGCGAAAGTGGTCTGTGCAACCCAAGAGGGGGGTTTTAGGGGTTGCTTATATAGAATTTGGGAATTTTGAGATTTGGAATAGATGCCGATGGGATTGGGGAGGGGAACTAAGGGAGCTGGGTATGGTGGATGTTTGTTTGTTTATGTGATTTTGATTTGGTAGGTTATTGTGTTTTTAGATGCGTTTTATTAGTTAAGTTTTTATTAAGAATACGCCTAAGGCCTTGAAGTTTTCTAGTTTATTTTGTGGGTTTAGTATTGCTTCTAGAGTTAGAGCCTTGTTTAGATTGAGGGTGGTTTGTAATGCGGTTCGATGTGTTAGGTAGTGTGTGCAGTGGATGAGTGCGTGTTCTGGGGTTTCTGGTTGTTTGCAGTGTGGGCAGTTACCTGTAGTGTGGTTTTTTAAAAATTTTAGGTGGTTATTTGGGTTGGTGTGTCCTGTTTGGAGTTTAGTGATTACTCTGTCGATTTTTTTGGATGGATGGAGAATTTTTGGTTTGGTTAGTGGTTTGCTGAGCACTTTTTTGATTTGGCTATTTGAGTTTAGATATAGGTTATGCCATTTTTTGGTGATTTTTTGCTTGTTTGCACTTTTAATTTCTGATTTTGAGATGGGTAAGTTTAAGCTTATTTCTGTGATTTTGAGGGATAGTTTAGCTGCTTTATCGGCGTTTTCATTACCGTATATTCCTACGTGGGCGGGTATCCACAAGAAGGTTATTTGTTTGCCTGCCTTAGTTAGGTCGTTGGAGCTTTTAAGTATTTGATTTATTAATTTAGGTCGGTTTTTGGTATTTTTGTTTTGGAGGGCTTGCAGTCCACTTGGTGAGGTGAATTAGGATTTTTGTGTGTTTTTTTTATTCTTGATTATGGAGGGCTGAGGCCATGCCCAGTCATGTTAGTCAGTTTCAAGTATCTATATACTAAACCTAGTCATCTCAACTGTAAATCGTCTCATCTCAGTTTCTCAGTGTAATAATTGTTTCTTCCTATTGTTTTTGTAATTGCTAAATAGTCTTCTCATCATACAGGCATCTTTCATTACACTTACATTAATTCTTCTTCTTTTTAAACTTTCCTTTAAGTCCCCTAATCCCCTAAAGCTCTACTCCTTTCATTTCTACTACCTCTACTCCAGACCTTAATCTCTCCTTTAGGTGAGTTCATAATGCCAGACAGGTAAATGCCGCGTTTTGTTTTAACTAATTGTAGGGGAACTGGGTTGTAGGGGAAATGGGATGTAGGGGTTTTGGGAGATAACCATGTGTATAGAACTGTATTAATTAAACCTCTTGTAATGCCATGTTTGTAACTAGTAACCTGTTAGCAAGGGACATTCTATTGAATATCCCCCTGTTCCCGGGATATTCTCCAGAAAGTCACCCTGAAAGTCTCTCTGTCATAGATATGTATTTAGCCTTTGAACACAATCCATATAACACACATTACAATTCTAACTTAAGGAAATGGGCGGAATGTTGTGAAATGTTACTTCTATTTGAACAGGATCGAACCTGCAACGTTAACATTTGTAGCCTAGAGAGTGGGCCATTGAACACCACCTTCTTCATCAGTCACTGCCATTATTCAAGTAGCACCCCCTACAACAGACGTGTGTTGTCAGATTTGTAAATAGTGATTATTTCACATAGGATATCATACAGAAAGACATATAATTTGATCTTATTGCCTCAGGTAATAACAATATCTGTTTCTTCCTCAGGCACAAGAAGAGCATAAACATCATACTTTTTTCTCTCATGCCAGCATAGCCAGCATAGATTAATGTTTCCTCCCATCTTGTTATGATAGTTGCTTGTTTATAAGCTTGATGAACGGTAGAACAATGACCAGTTTAGTTCATAGGCGATGGTCGCCATGCTTTTATTACTAGCACCAAAACAGTTAGTACAAAAGTGGCATTGGCACTTTAGACGAAACAGGATTTACATATAAACGAAATAAGATTGTTAATACATCTTACAACACATCTCTTGATGTCACATGTTTCATTGATAAAACATGTCAAACGATAACTCACATGTGAACATTCATTGCATCAGTAAGGGTCAGATCTGCACCCTCAGATACAAGGAAATAACAATCATAGTGTCCTCCTTCCAATGCCATCATAATTGGTGTTTGTTTCAACTCTCCTCCCTGTCTGTTGATGTCACATGTTTTTTATTGACAAGACATGTTTCACTATAGATATTGTACCTCCCTCACATGCCAACATCAGACAGTCTCTGTTAATACCATCAGGAAGGGTCAGATCCGCACCCTCAGATACAAGGAGATGATAAACATCATGGTGTCCTCCTTTCAATGCAATAATTATTGGTGTTTGTTTCATTTTCCCTCCCCGTCTGTTGATGTCACATGTTTTATTGACAAGACATGTTTCACTATAGATATGTTTCCTCCCTCACATGCCAACATCAGACAGTCTCAGTTGTATTTATCAGTACCGTATATGACCGCGTATAAGCCAAATTTTGAGGACCAGAAAAAAGATTCTGTAGAAAGGGGTCGGCTTATCCACGGGATACACTTTCATGATAGTATTTTACAGATCGTGATCTGTCAGAAACATCGCCTGAATGACGGTCCGATAGATTACAACTTCCCGAAAGTTTGGAAGTTGCCACGACTAGAGCCATTTTTGTTATAAATTATCAATAAAGTTATTATTATACACCAATGTTGTCATTATTTAAAAAATGTTATGCATGTTACTACTTCCGATAATATGTTTTCAATTGAATGTTCAAAGTTTATCGTTCTTCGTAAACTCCACAATCTTTACATGTAACAATATATGTAATTCACAGCTATAATATATAATCCCCAGATAAAATCGCCAATAGCTATTACGTACGTTTTGCAAAGTTCATAAATTGATAGTGAACAAGTGTCTACCTTTATTGAAAGAGGCAAATAAACAACTGTATCGGCGATTTATTCCGTTCGCCATTTGCAAAAACATGTGATCAGCTGTTTCCTGTGACGTCACAAACGGTGACCACTGTGATTGCTTCCTGTTGTTTAAAGCAACACGGTACACAAGGAAATGAGCATTGATAATAACGGGCCGATTGGTATTGTCAGGTTGTTTACACAAACATTTTCAAGTTGTGGGTGCTTAGCGATCGTGTTGGGAGTAGGGGCTTAATTCCTTTGTTTTCGAGAGATTAGTTTAATAAACTGGAAAAGCCTGTGAGTAAGTGATGGTCATTCAATGTGTTCATAGTATGATAGTTTATTTAATTCAATTGGATTAACATACAATAGTGGTGTAAAGGGGGTTATAAAAGTTGGTATATTTTTACTGACTGACGTTCTCATCATGAGTTTTGAACGAAAACGCCATGCTTACGATGCTGAAATCAAACTGCGAGTCTTCGTTTCAGCTGATATATTTTCTCACGGGTTCATAATTCTATATACACCGACTCACAAAATGGCGCTTGGTTGTTGATGGCAACATATAACGATCATTATGAGATTTAAAAAAAACACGAGAAACAGCTGCCCACATTATGAAAGTGGATGACATTTGTTAAATCTTTATTAGAAATAATAATGACTTTTTCAATATAATTACAACGTTTTTCATCTTATATTTTTGAATATCTGCGAGTACCGGCACATGTCTTTCAGTCCGACTTCGCAGTGTTTTTTGTCTTTCAATTCCTGATTCGGCTTATCTGCGGGTCATATCATTTTCTTTCGTATTTCAATGGTCAAATTAACACCTCGGCTTATCTACGGGGTCGGCTTCTCTGCGGTCATATACGGTAAGTGTCAGATCTGCACCCTCAGATACAAGGAGATGATAAACATCATAGTGTCCTCTTTCCAATGCCATCATAATTGGTGTTTGTTTCGATCTTCCTACCTTTCTGTTAATGTCACATGTTTTCATTGACAAGACATGTTTCACTATAGATATGTTTCCTCCCTCACATGCCAACATCAGACAGTCTCTGTTGTCACCATCAGTAAGGGTCAGATCTGCACCCTCAGATACAAGGAGATGATAAACATCATGGTGTCGTCCTTTCAATGCCATCATAATTGGTGTTTGTTTCAATTTTCCTCCCCGTCTGTTGATGTCACATTTTTTCATTGACAAGACATGTTTCACTATAGAATGTGTACCTCTCTCACATGCCAACATCAGACAGTCTCTGTTGTATTCATCAGTAAGGGTCAGATCCGCACCCTCAGATACAAGGAGATGATAAACATCATGGTGTCGTCCTTTCAATGCCATCATAATTGGTGTTTGTTTCAATTTTCCTCCCCGTCTGTTGATGTCACATGTTTTCGTTGACAAGACATGTTTCACTATAGATATTGTACCTCCTTCACATGCCAACATCAGACAGTCTCTTTTGTATTTATCAGTTAGGGTGAGATCTGCACCCTCAGATACAAGGAGATGATAAACATCATAGTGTCTTTCGTCCAATGCCATCATAATTGGTGTTTGGTTCAATTTTCCTCCCCGCCTGTTGATGTCACATGTTTTCATTGACAAGACATGTTTCACTGTAGATATGTTACCTCTCTGACATGCCAACATCAGACAGTCTCTGTTGTTTTTATCAGTAAGGGTCAGATCTGCACCCTCAGATACAAGGAGATGATAAACATCATAGTGTCCTCCTTTCAATGCCATCATAATTGGTGTTTGGTTCAACTCTCCTCCCCGCCTGTTGATGTCACATGTTTTCATTGACAAGACATGTTTCACTATAGATATGTTTCCTCCCTCACATGCCAACATCATACAGCCTCTGTTGTATTCATCAGTAAGGGTCAGATCTGCTCCCTCAGATACAAGGAGATGATAAACATCATGATGTCGTCCTTTCAATGCCATCATAATTGGTGTTTGTTTCAATTTTCCTCCCTGTCTGTTGATGTCACATGTTTTCATTGACAAGACATGTTTCACTATAGATATTGTACCTCCCTCACATGCCAACATCAGACAGTTTCTGCTGTCACCATCAGTAAGGGTCAGATCTGCACCCTCAGATACAAGGAGATGATAAACATCATGGTGTCGTCCTTTCAATGCCATCATAATTGGTGTTTGTTTCAATTTTCCTCCCCGTCTGTTGATGTCACATTTTTTCATTGACAAGACATGTTTCACTATAGATTGTGTACCTCTCTCACATGCCAACATCAGACAGTCTCTGTTGTATTCATCAGTAAGGGTCAGATCCGCACCCTCAGATACAAGGAGATGATAAACATCATAGTGTCTTCCTTCCAATGCCATCATAATTGGTGTTTGGTTCAACTCTCCTCCCCGCCTGTTGATGTCACATGTTTTCATTGACAAGACATGTTTCACTACAGATATGTTTCCTCCCTCACATGCCAACATCAGACAGTCTCTGTTGTTTTTATCAGTAAGGGTCAGATCTGCACCCTCAGATACAAGGAGATGATAAAAATCATAGTGTCTTCCTTCCAATGCCATCATAATTGGTGTTTGTCTACAATATCCTCCCTGCCTGTTGATGTCACATGTTTTCATTGACAAGACATGTTTCACTATGGATATTGTACCTCCCTCACATGCCAACATCAGACAGTCTCTGTTGTATTCATCAGTAACTGTCAGATCTGCACCCTCAGATACAAGGAGATGATAAACATCATAGTGTCGTCCTTCCAATGCCATCATAATTGGTGTTTGTTTCATATTTCCTCCCCGTCTGTTGATGTCACATGTTTTCATTGACAAGACATGTTTCACTATAGATATTGTACCTCCCTCACATGCCAACATCAGACAGTCTCTGTTGTTACAATCAGTAAGGGTCAGATCCGCACCCTCAGATACAAGGAGATGATAAACATCATAGTATCCTCCTTCCAATGCCATCATAATTGGTGTTTGTTTCAATCTTCCTCCCCGTCTGTTGATGTCACATGTTTTCATTGACAAGACATGTTTCACTATAGATATTGTACCTTCCTCAAATGCCAACATCAGACAGTCTCTGTTGTTGTTATCAGTAAGGGTCAGATCTGCACCCTCAGATACAAGGAGATGATAAACATCATAGTGTCTTCCTTCCAATGCCATCATAATTGGTGTTTGGTTCAACTCTCCTCCCCGCCTGTTGATGTCACATGTTTTCATTGACAAGACATGTTTCACTGTAGATATGTTACCTCTCTGACATGCCAACATCAGACAGTCTCTGTTGTTTTTATCAGTAAGGGTCAGATCTGCACCCTCAGATACAAGGAGATGATAAACATCATAGTGTCCTCCTTTCAATGCCATCATAATTGGTGTTTGGTTCAACTCTCCTCCCCGCCTGTTGATGTCACATGTTTTCATTGACAAGACATGTTTCACTATAGATATGTTTCCTCCCTCACATGCCAACATCATACAGCCTCTGTTGTATTCATCAGTAAGGGTCAGATCTGCTCCCTCAGATACAAGGAGATGATAAACATCATGATGTCGTCCTTTCAATGCCATCATAATTGGTGTTTGGTTCAATTTTCCTCCCTGTCTGTTGATGTCACATGTTTTCATTGACAAGACATGTTTCACTATAGATATTGTACCTCCCTCACATGCCAACATCAGACAGTTTCTGCTGTCACCATCAGTAAGGGTCAGATCTGCACCCTCAGATACAAGGAGATGATAAACATCATGGTGTCGTCCTTTCAATGCCATCATAATTGGTGTTTGGTTCAATTTTCCTCCCCGTCTGTTGATGTCACATTTTTTCATTGACAAGACATGTTTCACTATAGATATTGTACCTCCCTCACATGCCAACATCAGACAGTTTGTGCTGTCACCATCAGTAAGGGTCAGATCTGCTCCCTCAGATACAAGGAGATGATAAACATCATGGTGTCGTCCTTTCAATACCATCATAATTGGTGTTTGTTTCAATTTTCCTCCCCGTCTGTTGATGTCACATGTTTTCGTTGACAAGACATGTTTCACTATAGATATTGTACCTCCTTCACATGCCAACATCAGACAGTCTCTTTTGTATTTATCAGTTAGGGTGAGATCTGCACCCTCAGATACAAGGAGATGATAAACATCATAGTGTCCTCCTTCGAATGCCATCATAATTGGTGTTTGGTTCAACTCTCCTCCCTGCCTGTTGATGTCACATGTTTTCATTGACAAGACATGTTTCACTATAGATATGTTTCCTCCCTCACATGCCAACATCAGACAGTCTGTGTTGTATTCATCAGTAAGGGTCAGATCTGCACCCTCTGATACAAGGAGATGATAAACATCATAGTGTCCTTCTTCTAATGCCATCATAATTGGTGTTTGTTCGAAAAATCCGCCCCGCCTGTTGATGCCACATGTTTTCATTGACAAGACATGTTTCACTGTAGATATGTTACCTCTCTGACATGCCAACATCAGACAGTCTCTGTTGTTGTTATCAGTAAGGGTCAGATCTGCACCCTCAGATACAAGGAGATGAAAAACATCATAGTGTCTTTCTTCCAATGCCATCATAATTGGTGTTTGTTTCAACTCTCCTCCCTGCCTGTTGATGTCACATGTTTTCATTGACAAGACACGTTTCACTATAGATTTGTTTCCTCCCTCACATGCCAACATCAGACAGTCACAGTTGTCATCGTCAGTAAGGGTCAGATCTGCTCCCTCAGATTCAAGAAGATGATAAACATCATAGTGTCCTCTTTTTAATGCCATCATAATTGGTGTTTGTTTGAAACATTCTCCCCACCTGTTGATGTCCCATGTTTTCATTGACAAGACATATTTCACTGTAGATATGTTACCTCCCTCACATGCCAAAATCAGACAGTCTGTGTTGAATTCATCAGTAAGGGTCAGATCTGCACCCTCAGATACATGGAGATCATACTGTCCTCCTTCACATGCCATCATAATTGGAGTTTGTTTGAAATATCCTCCCCGCCTGTTGATGTCACATGTTTTCATTGACAAGACATGTTTCACTAAATTTATGTTTCCTCCCTGACATGCCAACATCAGACAGTCTCTGTTGTTTTTATCAGTAAGGGTCAGGTCTGCACCCTCAGACACAAGGAGATGATAAACATCATAGTGTCCTCTTTTTAATGCCATCATAATTGGTGTTTGTTTCAACCATCCTCCCCGCCTGTTGATGTCACATGTTTTCATTGACAAGACATGTTTCACTGTATTTATGTTTCCTCCCTGACATGCCAACATCAGACAGTCTGTGTTGTATTCATCAGTAAGGGTCAGATCTGCACCCTCTGATACAAGGAGATGATAAACATCATAGTGTCCTTCTTCTAATGCCATCATAATTGGTGTTTGTTCGAAAAATCCGCCCCGCCTGTTGATGCCACATGTTTTCATTGACAAGACATGTTTCACTGTATTTATGTTTCCTCCCTTACATGCCAACATCAGACAGTCTTTGTTGTTTTTATCAGTAAGGGTCAGATCTGCACCCTCTGATACAAGGAGATTATAAACATCATGGTGTCCTTCTTCTAACGCCATCATAATTGGTGTTTGTTTCAAATATCCTCCCCGCTTATTGATATCCCATGTTTTCATTGACAAGACATGTTTCACTATATTTATGTTTCCTCCCTCACATGCCAACATCAGACAGTCTCTGTTGTTGTTATCAGTAAGGGTCAGATCTGCACCCTCAGATACAAGGAGATGAAAAACATCATAGTGTCTTTCTTCCAATGCCATCATAATTGGTGTTTGTTTCAACTCTCCTCCCTGCCTGTTGATGTCACATGTTTTCATTGACAAGACACGTTTCACTATAGATTTGTTTCCTCCCTCACATGCCAACATCAGACAGTCACAGTTGTCATCGTCAGTAAGGGTCAGATCTGCTCCCTCAGATTCAAGAAGATGATAAACATCATAGTGTCCTCTTTTTAATGCCATCATAATTGGTGTTTGTTTGAAACATTCTCCCCACCTGTTGATGTCCCATGTTTTCATTGACAAGACATATTTCACTGTAGATATGTTACCTCCCTCACATGCCAAAATCAGACAGTCTGTGTTGAATTCATCAGTAAGGGTCAGATCTGCACCCTCAGATACATGGAGATCATACTGTCCTCCTTCACATGCCATCATAATTGGAGTTTGTTTGAAATATCCTCCCCGCCTGTTGATGTCACATGTTTTCATTGACAAGACATGTTTCACTAAATTTATGTTTCCTCCCTGACATGCCAACATCAGACAGTCTCTGTTGTTTTTATCAGTAAGGGTCAGGTCTGCACCCTCAGACACAAGGAGATGATAAACATCATAGTGTCCTCTTTTTAATGCCATCATAATTGGTGTTTGTTTCAACCATCCTCCCCGCCTGTTGATGTCACATGTTTTCATTGACAAGACATGTTTCACTGTATTTATGTTTCCTCCCTGACATGCCAACATCAGACAGTCTGTGTTGTATTCATCAGTAAGGGTCAGATCTGCACCCTCTGATACAAGGAGATGATAAACATCATAGTGTCCTTCTTCTAATGCCATCATAATTGGTGTTTGTTCGAAAAATCCGCCCCGCCTGTTGATGCCACATGTTTTCATTGACAAGACATGTTTCACTGTATTTATGTTTCCTCCCTTACATGCCAACATCAGACAGTCTTTGTTGTTTTTATCAGTAAGGGTCAGATCTGCACCCTCTGATACAAGGAGATTATAAACATCATGGTGTCCTTCTTCTAACGCCATCATAATTGGTGTTTGTTTCAAATATCCTCCCCGCTTATTGATATCCCATGTTTTCATTGACAAGACATGTTTCACTATATTTATGTTTCCTCCCTCACATGCCAACATCAGACAGTCTTTGTTGTATTGATCAGTCAGGGTCAGATCTGCACCCTCAGTTACAAGGAGATGATAAACATCATAGTGTCTTCCTTGCAATGCCATCATAATTGGTGTTTGCATCTGTTTTGTTTCCTTCTTGTTCATATCAAATATTTTCAGTGAAATACAAAAGCTCACAGTTGACAGATTGCCATTTTCACTCGCTAAATGCAAACAATTTGTCAACCAATAGTTGGTAAGAGTTAAATTGGCTCCTTTTTGTTTGAGGAACCTCAGGATATCAAGGCAACCTTTTTTTGCACAAAACATTGCAGGTGTTAATCCATTATTATTCATAGAATTGATTGAAATAGGACAAGTTTCAATCACCCTTGTTGTCAACAGCATGCTTCCTGATTCACAGGCATAATGTAAACAGGTGTTTCCTGCCCAGTCCGTCACGGAAATATCAGCACCCTTCTGGATGAGGAAGTTGAATACCTCTGACTGTCCTGACTGGGCAGCCATAATCAGGAGGGTTTCCCCGTCTATGGAAAATTCAACATCGAATCCTCCATGTAGACTCATGACTGTAACGAGGTGTTCCAGGTGTTTCAGTTTGCCATGTGTGACACAGGCTACGACACAGTCATATAGATCAGGCGCAGAGTCACCAAGTCTTCCAACTACTTCTAATGTCTTGGAGAATAGAAAGTAACTCTCAGATATGGAAGCCAAATACCAAAAACATTCACCAGAGTCACTATCCTTTTGTTGGACAGTCTCAACAATGTTATCATTAATCTCTGTCCATAGTAGGGCGGCAATCCTCTCATCGCGGAAAACTGGATGTGTCACTGTCCAAATGAAGCACCCTTGTCGAATACCTTCCACCAGTCTGTCCACTACTGTTTGGTGTAGTTGGGGGGTGATGTGGATCATGTTTGTGACATCTTCAATGTCTGATGACTGTATACCTTTACCCAGCCTCACTCTTTCATACAGGAATTTCAGGGAGCAGTGTTCCAGCAGCAACACGATATTGAGTTGTCCTACAGCACAGGCTGCAGCATCGTATATGGAGGGGTGAGAGAAGGATGCGATGTGATCCTCGACTGTACAGTAGACCCCAGTAAAGTTGTTGATCTCCTTGGCAATCCCGGTGCTTGTACAACAAGGAACTACTTCCTTCACAGCACCAAACATGACGTTTCCAGCTTTCCGTGACTGCAAAGAAACAAGGTTCAAGTTTCCATCACACAGGATGAGGAGAAGGATGGCTGCCGATCTATTGCTTTCTTCCTGGACAATGGCGTCAAGGTCACCTCTCAGGTACGTCAGCGGATTATTGAAGAATTTTGCGTTGTGCATCTGGAAGACTGCATGAGTGAAAAAGAGTTTGCTGATAAGAGGGAATCCAAATATGTTGTGTTTTGAATCTGTGATGCTACAAATATCCTTTTCAGAGACATCACATGTAGGATGTTTGCTCTTGTAGGACTGTAACATACGTTTCTTTTCTTCAACTGTGAGACAGTCTTTAGTCATATCAAGAATAGCTTCTGTTTTGAGTAGATCCACTTTGTACTTGTGTAGTCTTGAACATCCCCCCTTCCAGTTATATGTCCTGGATGTAAAAACAAGCTTCAGTCTGTAGATGGGGGTCTCTTCATTGGATTTTTCCTTACCTTTTGATTTTTTCTCTTTCTTCTCCTTGGATTCCCTCTCTGTATCAGCGGCAGTTTTAGCAAGGTTATCATTCAAGTCACTGAACAATTTATGTAGTTTTTCCAAATTTGAATAGAATGTGACAGAACCAAATATATCATCAAAAACAACCAGCATGTGTGATTGTCGTTTAGAAATTGTATCAACGTCAAAATGTTCAATGTTTTCCACAAACACTGTTTCATATCTCTTTTGTTGATATGCCTCACAGATCTTCAGTGCAATGCTGGTCTTCCCATCTCCAGGAGCTCCACAGATGCTGACATGGCCATGCTTCTCAAGGAGCTGTTGGGCTGTCTGGAGGGCATGGATGTCCACAAAATACTCCTTGAGCAGTTCCACCTTTTGGCAGTAACGTTCTGTGGGAAGAGGGGAAACACATTGATTGTGTGAATGTTAAATTGGTGTGTAAGTAGACTAATCTTGACCCAGGGTAGAAAGCATCATTAATAATAATAATAATAATAATAATAATAATAAGTGTATTTATACACTTCACTGTTATTACCCCGGTCAATGGATCAGTGAGCATTCTCAGCTCCCTGGGGAGTATACAACCCAAGCTGCCTGTGAGGCGCTAGAAGTTTAACAGCCACATTACCATCTCATCCTACCGGGTACCCACTCACTGCTGGGTGAGCAGAGGCACATTTCGAACAAAGTCACTTGCCTAAGGAGACACCACATGTGGTACATGTGCTTCGGTGTTGGGCAGGACCGAAGCCCTAGAAACTCTCAGGATTCAAGCTGCTTAACGTGGTCACCCATCCAACTGCTCTCCGAGACCGACGTTGCTGAACTTCACCTAATTTGTGACCTGTGTGCTGTGCACATGACCATGTGCCACCACATTCCAGTCAGATTGTTTGCAGAGTTTTAATCAGGCTACTTATGTTTACCATCTGTTCTGGTTCTGGTTCAGTCTACTCATACAAGCTTTCAAGTAATTAAGTCTTTGAAAGGCATTTAGAAGTGATACACATAAGGAAGAGAATTTATGGATGTTAACTTCTTTATTATGAGGAGCACAATGTTTCGGAGTATATATATGCTTACTCCTTCATCAGGTGAATGAATCCTATGAGCCTGAGAGCATATATGTACAGGTAAGGACATGTCCATAACTATCAGCACTAATATCTGTAAAGTTGTTGGCTTCCATTGTCTATTGCTAAGCTACTATCAGCGCCAATTATATGTTGGCTTCCCTTGTTAAGTTTCCAACTTTTGTTATCTTATTACTTTTGTTGTTCGTACATGTACATATAATGCTCTCTGGCTCATAGCATTCATTCACCTGATGAAGGAGTAAGCATATACTCCTAAACGTTGTGTTCCTCATAATAAAGAAGTTGACATCCATAAATTCTCTTCCTTATTCAAGTTATTGACCAAAACATTTGAAATATTTAGATGAAAAACATTGTGTAAAGTCCTATTTCCCTGTGTGTGGCGTGGCGTGGTGTGATGTGGCTTGGCCTGGCCGGACATGAGGCATGCATGCGTGCCACACAGGCACAGTATACTGACTCCGAGCTGACCAGTCCTTGTTTTAGCCCCTTAACGCCAAGTGCCAGACAGGGTAACAACAAGCAACATCTTTTAATGTCTTCTGGTATGACGCGGCCGGGGTTCGAACACCGGACCTTAAGCTCTCTGGCGGACGCTCTACCACTAGACCAGGTAGGCGGAATGGAATGTTAGGAATGTGCACCCTATCCTTGTTTTAGCCCCTTAACGCCGAGTGCCAGACAGGGTAACAACAAGCAACATATTTTAATGTCTTCTGGTATGACGCGGCCGGGGTTCGAACACCGGACCTTAAGCTCTCTGGCGGACGCTCTACCACTAGATCAGGTAGGTGGAATGGAATGTTAGGAATGTACACCCTATGCTTGCAGCATTTTCACCATGAATTCAGGATTGAAAAACTTCTTGTAATGTTTGAAATTATAAATATTATTTTTAAAAATATGCGATATATTTACACTGATTTGAACAAGATAAACGAACCTGCATGTCAAATGAATTCTTTCTTCCAGTTTATTCTCTTTATCATAGAATTCCCAGTAACCTCCCTAATATCAATAGTCTATGCTTACTTATTATTAAAAATCAATTGGTTCTTGAGTCCACATGACTATTCTTAATTATCCCATTTTCATTCCCATAATAACAGTTCTTCAACCTATCAGCATGTACATGCCAGGTGGCATCTCACCTTGTGACAGACATCCTCTAGCTCCATGTTCCCCGACGGAGACGGAGACATTGGTAGCATTGGTCAAGTCCACTTGATTCACTGGACCACCTGCAACAGAGAAAACCTCTGGTCTCATTTCACCTGAGAAATGAAGGTGACTAAACCCTTCCATAATAATAATAATTCTCGGCTGTAGATCTACTTTGACATACTTTGAAATTTGGAACAAAATAATTTGAGTCAAAGCAATCTAGTACGTTTTGTTTCTAAACGTGTTTTCCTTTGTATAATTCATATTTGTGTAATAAGGATTGAAACTCAATGAAACAGCTGAAGTAATGTTACTTTTCATCAGTTTCATAGTTGAACCAAAAGAAGAAGAAGTTGGATGACATCCTGGTGCAAATAGGAAAAAGCTATTACAATTCTTTTGTTCCATCCATTAGAAATTTATCACAGGAACGTCGGATCAGTGTCAAAACTCAAGATACATTTGAAAATTATGTTACAAAGGCCCCTTCATTTAAAATATTATTAATATCACACAAAATTAAAGCACTGTTTTATGGATACTGACTTTTGACCATTAAGATGTGGCATGAGTAAATTGTAAACATGGAGAGAGTTATGTTAAAGTATATCCATTATGCTAGATCAGCTTCTGTTATGACTGTACATGTTTGGAATGCTCACTGTAGTTGTGCTGTATTGCAGTTGTGGAAGTAGGTTGTCTCCCTTGTTCAGTCCTCCTCAGTAAATCAGCTGCTTCCTCTGTGAGGCATCCGGTCATCTGATGGTCACGTGAGTCCGGATTTCCTTCCATTTCTCACTGTTCTGAAAACAAACTACAGTTACTACCTATGACTGGGGACATTGATCAAGCAACACCAAATTCATCGAAAGTATGAAATTTGAATTTAAAAGTGCTTATAATTAATTATTGAAAATTGTTTTTCATAACTGCAGCGGTCACGAAAATCAGCAAAAACGTCTTTGGAGAAGCTCGTTTTATTTTATGACAGCAGACAAAGTTTAATTTCAGTACAGTTCTGTCTGAACAAATGTCCTGGTAAAGAGTCTACTACATTGGGCCTCAGACAGAAATACCTAAGAAAGGATTTCACTGTCACACAATGTGAGGTTCAGAACTCATCAGTCAAACCTCAAACTGACCAGTGTGACCCTCATATATACATGCCACTATATACACTCAAGCATTCATGTAGTGATTATTTAGCTCTACATCATCACTACTATAATCACTACATGAATTATTTATCTCGACCCGTTAAGATTCCAGGGTAGAATAGGTCTTCAGCAACCCATGTTTGCCGTAAAAGGCGACTATGCTTGTCGTAAGAGGCGACTAACAGGATCGGGTGGTCAGGCTCGATGACTTGGTTTGATGCATGTCATCGATCCAAATTGCGTGGATCGATGCTCATGTTGTCAATCACTGGATTGTCTGGTCCAGACTCGATTATTAAACAGATCGCCGTCATATAGCTGGAATATTGCTGAGTGCGGCGTTAAACAACAAACCAACCAACCAATCACAAGTAGTTATATATATGTGACAAATATTACTTAAGTTCACGATTAAGATACTCAAAGTCTTGACTAATTCAAAATAAGGGTTCAAAACACATACTTTTTCAAAAGGAAGTTGACATATAACCCTACAAACTGACACCCATGATGCGTTTTAATTTCATCGCAACCTGTTGCATATTTGTCACTGTTTGGGCTCACCAAGTCATCGGGACAGTTCATTTCTTTGAAATCAGCGCGACAAGTTATTTCTTGGACATGGAACATGCTGTCTCCCATTGTAGGGGTGAGAGGTTGTAGAAATAGGGGAAATAATGCTAAACAAATTTATTTCTCCAATAATCTTTATTAATTAACAGTCTACTATATATATCACTACTGTCAATGGCTGCCAGATGACAACATCGATCTATGATGCATGTGGTTCAACATTAATCTGTCAATTTTCTGGGAATGAGCCTGCTGGTACAAAGTTAATGGAACTACTAAACACAGCCATTTTGAGGCCTGGTGGGGGATTCCTCATTCTTTAGACCTGTCAGTTTCATGAGGCATTCGATGGCGACATGTGAAAGAAATATGACAGTTGTGATCCAGTGGTTTGTGTATGCTTTGCTTAATGGAGTGTGTTCTGAAATGGATTCATCATGTTTGATAAGCTGTTGTGACCAAGTGTCTGTGCTGTGAATCTGCAGTCATTTCGGGACATTTGTTTGTGAGTTTTCGTGGCCTTTGGAAGGGACTTTCAAATCCCCTCCCGCCAAATCGTAACATTAATTGTTCACAGAGTTGGCAATGAATATCGATCACAAAAAGGTTCTGTTGTCATGAATAAAGTTTTTTTTAAACATTTTTATAATCTTTTGTTTTACTTTTAATATCATTTATTTCAATGATGAAATTACCGAACATATATCCCAAACAGTTATAAACGCCATCTATTGTATGCAAACGATATGCCCACATAAGTAGTGTCATCTCATCGTCAAACCAGACGGGGTTACCAGCTGGTTAATTACGGCCTTGAATGTCAAAGTCATTGCCAAAAGCATCTAATATCAAACATACCGTAATGTCTCTATTAGACACTAAGGAGTCATTATTTCCTATAGGGGGCCGGCGTGTATCTAATAAAGGAAATACAGTCCTGATTGGTTTTGGGCAGGCATTTATTCTGGAAGGCAATCGAAGTATTCATATGCACGGATTTTGTGTGAAAAGGTTTAATTCAAAAGAGGTTTCAGTAGAAAAAAGGAAACATCTTTTTAACCTAGCATCTAGCATTCTTTAATGTCATGGTAGAATTGACCTTGATCTAACTTCTTAGGAGCAAACAATTGCCAAGTCTCAGGATTTTACAAATAAAAGTCCAACAGTAACTGGCAATGAAAATGATATGACAATGTTTCACAATAACCTCAATGCTGACCTTGACCCTTTACACTTTTGACATACTTGGAGCATATTTTTTGTATTAGAGCACGGTTCCATTCCAAGAAGATATCCATATTTAGTTTTTGGAAAGTGTTACCATATTGTTCAGGTGAGATTCTCATGACCTTGACCTATCATGTTCTAAATAGAAAGAACTCCTAAGGTCAAAAGTGGAATAAGTCAATTTTAGGATATCCTCCAATGCAAGTAACATTTGCACCATATTCAAGAGAAAGAAAAACAGAGTTCTACATTTCAGTTACCTTAAAGGTGACCTCGACATTTGTCATGTGATAGGATTTGTTTAGAAACATGTAAACATAATGTTTCATACCTGTAGAAGTAAGCATGCCTCAGAAAATGAAAAGGATATAAGTTAGAACCATGTTGAAAACCTGAAAACTCACCTTGATCTTTGACCATCTTAGAGAAGATATATTATATACCAACATAAAGTTGTGCCAAATATCACAATGAGCAACAAAAGTTAACATGTGCCTTTGAATAAAACACACAATTACTGGCTATCAAAGTCCTTCATACATGCAAAAATGGTTGACTATTGGGTCAGTGAGGAAACAAACCTACTGTGTTTTGAAATTGAATGTCGGCTCAATTTAGAATCGATACCTGCTTTTTTAAATTTGGAACAGACCGCTATATTACATTGTTTACCATATAATGGATAATACTTTTGATGAACTAAACCGATAATCTTGGAATCACGAATATGCAAATGAGCTCATCTAGATAGATGATAGAACGATCTCATTCATTCCTTTTCAAATGTAAAACGGACAAAAATGTAAAACTGTTACCTCATGATTTATTTCATTCAAACACGAAAATCAATTATCAGACAATGACAGTAACAATGTAAATTGACAGATTATTGTTCAGTGTCTGTATCATCATCAACATCTGACCTTTCACGCTCTAGATCTTCAGCCACAGAAAGATCTACATGAGATAGAATGTCTTTCACAATAGGTTTCATCCACTGGCTGATTTTAGTGGCGAGTTCCTTGGGATCTGCATCCAATGCCCTCACTTTCTCCAGAAGGGGCTTGAAAAGGGGTCCATACCCAAAGTAGCTGACATATCTAATAGCTTTTGAGAGTCGATCTAGGAAGGTTGATTCCCAGCATTTCTGGTGGAGGAAGGGGAGGGGGTGGAGGAGGAGGTGAGGTTCCCGGAGGACGAGGAGGAGGAGGAGGAGGATGCATTTGTCTCCTATGTCTATGCATATTGTCATGTCTAGAGAACTGTCTCCCACAATCAGGACACGATGACGTGGACTTCATGACGAGTGGAGAGTAAATGAACATTTTCCAAAGAGGAAGACCCTTATATACTCTGAAGATCAGCTTCTGGGATCCAACTGTTAAACTTTTTAGGAAAGCTCATCATTTTCACAAACACTTCATTCTGACCAGATCGCTTTCTTTCCTTGAGTATTTTCTCCACTCTCCACACAGTGCCTCCAGGCTTACATAGAAACTGCCTTGAACCGGGTCATCTGCCATATCTTTCAACAGATAGATGGCTATACCATCTCTGTAGTATCGCCTCCTAATAATAAAGATTTCCTCAGTCCATTTTTCTTGATAGTCTCTTTGAAATGTATGTCTCAAATGAGACAGACTCAGTTGATCGCCCACTTTATATTTAAACGGTTTCTCCATTGACTTCTGGGTGATTTCAACTTTCGATTTTACCGGTTTCGTCAAAGCATCAATGTATTGTTCCTTCCATACTAGAGCTTCATTAGTTTGATTGATATCTGAGGGTGATCGTTCATTCAACGATCTGTGAGGTCTGTGGTTATAATTCTGGACGAGGTCTGGTAAAATATGCAAATGATGATATGTTTGTTTGAACGTGAAATATCTGTACATCGTTGTCTTGAGGGTCCGTATCACTCTCTCAGCATAAGAAGCCTTGGCTTCATTCTGTGTGACATAGTAAGTGATGCCCTTGTTTCTTAAATAAGACCTAAGTTTCTTATTATCAAATTCTCGCCCTTTGCCTGATCGTATAATTTGTTGCATGGTAGCGCGGGAAAATATCTTCTTCAAGGCCTTAATGACTCATCCGGTGTTATATTTTTAATGGGCTCCACCCACAGAAATCGTGTAAATACATTTATAGCAATGAGTAAGTATTTCACACCGCCATTGTCAGAGGCTATGTTAGATACTTCAGCCAAGTCGATATATCATCGAGCATTAAGGCCTGAAGCCACCACTCTGTTCCGCTTGAACTTGTATCTTAAAAGTCGCTGAAGCGAATAGGCATCTTGTGATGTCAGTCACTTCTTGATGTGATGTAAACTAATATCAAATTTCCCCTCCTTTTTCACAATGTGATACAACTTAGCAGGGCCAGAAAAGGAGGCTGGGTGTTTGGGATTAAAATAAATACTAGACAAATACGCTTTCCATCCGTCAGCAGGCATGGTTACACGTGAAATGAAGCCTACACGATGTAAATAGAGCTTTAATGTTTATCAACTACATAGCCATTCATAACTACAGAGGCGGAGCTGGGTTACATTCAATGACAAACGTGCTTGTGTGTTTATGTTAACCCGTGGATACAGAGGACTGCCTTCCTCAATGGTTTGTTAACACAACTGATTGCCTTCAGTGGACAAGGCTGTTATGTGACCTAGTTTATCACCCTGTTTACAGTAACAAAACAATTCTCCTTTACCTATGCAACTAATGTAAACTGACTACATTGCTTCCTCACTATTTCAACGGAATTTAATACATACTGTTCTACAGATTTTGATACTTATTAGGCCATGTTTGAATGTGTAACCGCTGGTCTATCGATAGCGGGAGATTTCCCTTCTTGCACCACACCTTGAAATATACAGGTTCATCTATCTATTTTTAGCGTGACATCATACCAAGCCATAACCGGCTGCAGCGGGTGTCCTTACCTGGTTAGAACACATTTGGAAAACGTGCCATGAAAAGTTTAGGACACGATTGTAACAGTGTCATGCCATTGTTAGATTATTTGTTGTAACTCAGTGTCTTGACAAGGTTAGAGCGTTGTTTTAAAACAGTGTCTTGACAAGGTTGGAGCATCGTAATAAAACAGTGTCATGACAAGGTTAGAGCATTGTTATATAACAGTGCCTTGACAAGGTTGGGGCATTGTTATAAAACAGTGTCATGACAAGGTTTGAGCATTGTTATAAAACAGTGTCATGACAAGGTTGGGGCATTGTTATAAAACAGTGTCATGACAAGGTTTGAGCATTGTTATGAAACAGTGTCATGACAAGGTTGGGGCATTGTTATAAAACAGTGTAATGACAAGGTTTGAGCATTGTTATGAAACAGTGTCTTGACAAGGTTGGAGCATTGTTATGAAACAGTGTCTTGACAAGGTTGGAGCATTGTTATGAAACAGTGTCTTGACAAGGTTTGAACATTGTTATAAAACAGTGTCATGACAAGGTTTGAGCATTGTTATAAAACAGTGTCTTGAAAGGTTTGAGCATTGTTATATAACAGTGTCATGACAAGGTTTGAGCATTGTTATATACCAGTGTCTTGACAAGGTTTGAACATTGTTATAAAACAGTGTCTTGACAAGGTTTGAGGATTGTTATTAAACAGTGTCATGACAAGGTTTAAGCATTGTTATATAACAGTGTCTTGACAAGGTTTGAGCATTGTTATAAAACAGTGTCTTGATAAGGTTTGAGGATTGTTATAAAACAGTGTCATGACAAGGTTTAAGCATTGTTATATAAAAGTGTCTTGACAAGGTTTGAGCATTGTTATAAAACAGTGTCTTGACAAGGTTGGAGCATTGTTATATAACAGTGTCTTGACAAGGTTTGAGCATTGTTATAAAACAGTGTTTTGACAAGGTTGGAGCATGGTTGTCAAACAGTGTCATGACAAGGTTTGAACATTGTTATAAAACAGTGTTTTGACAAGGTTGGAGCATGGTTATCAAACAGTGTCATGACAAAGTTTGAGCATTGTTATAAAACAGTGTCTTGACAAGGTTTGAGCATCGTTATATAACAGTGTCTTGACAAGGTTTGAGCATCGTTATAAAACAGTGTCTTGACAAGGTTGGAGCATGGTTATATAACAGTGTCTTGACATGGTTTGAGCATTGTTATAAAACAGTGTCTTGAAAAGGTTGGAGCATTGTTATAAAACAGTGTCGTTGTACACAACATTAAAAAATGGGGACCGGTTGCCATTCTACCGACATGATCCAAGAAGAAGAAGAATAAGGGGTGACATTTTGACTAGCCAGGCGGGACATCTAATTTACGTTTCAGCAAGACCTTTGAAATTTAACTGGTCACGGGCCAGCCATTATATCGACCCCTGTAGAACCCGGCTGTAAAACAGTGCCATGGCAAGGTTAGGACATGGTTGTAAAACAGTAGTATCCCTTATAGAAAAAGACTCTTTCAACAGTATGTCATCTTGTTGACACCTTGCTATTTGGCCTTGTCGACGCCTTGTTTTGACCATGTCATTTTGACATAGAATAACTTACAAGTTGTTTGACCTTGTCAATGTTACATTAAATCATACATCGCACATTCCTTACGGGAAGTATCCCACAGGAGTGACATAGGCCTATAGAAAACCTGATGTTAAACGACGAACGGCTGATGGGGATACGATACCTGTATAGCTGCATGCAAGTCTATAACATTTCCCCCTAGACTGGTTGAAATTACAGGGGCATTGTTCGAACCAGGAAGTATTTTATCTGTTCTGGGCTTATGCTTTCAAGGTAGATAATTGACATACCATACACGCTAATCACTTGCCACATGCTAAGGTTTGTAGTCAAAACGTCCACACAAACACATTGGTCAAAATGTCCACACAAACAAATTGGAGAAAATGGTCACAAAAGACGTCAAAATGGCCACAATGAAATCTCAAAATGGCCACACTGAAATTTCAAAATGGCCACCCCAAAAAGTCAAAAGTTACACAAACCAAACGTCATATAGGTTTAGTAGTATTAAATAGACGTTTATATCATTTACTTATTTATAAGTAAACAAATACATGTATTTATAAATATAACGCTTACATATCGTCAGTTGAACATTTTGAAGAGGCTTTGTGAGATACGTCCCGCTACTGACACCAGGATGTACGATACATGCAGAGTCCTAAATCCCACAGTGGGCTTACCCGCACTAAACTCCATGTGTGGGCGGAGCTATTGTGACAACTTGACACGTATTTCGTACGAACTGCTTCTCACCTGAACATGGAAGTGCATCGTACCGGGTAGTGGCAGCCTACAGCATGTGTTGAGACTGTATTGTTAGCTGCACCATAAAACTTGACAAAGCAGACGCAATTTATGGATAACAACTTCTATAGTACTGTAATGGCGACGTTTCGGTATAGATCCTTATAAGCAAGTCGCCATAAATTGTGTCTACTTTGTCATCCGTCAACTTCTAAGTACTGCCTATCAAACAATTCACCATAAAACTGAACAACCTTTTATTTATTTCATACGCAAACGTCCATTGTTGAAAATTTGTTTTGAAATGAACGAAGCGAAACGTATATTATAAAATGTTGTTGAACGATCATGTATTTTGACGCCATGATTGTTAACGTTGGACATTTTAATCTCTTTCATTGTCACCTTTCCTCTTTCCATTTGGTTCTGAAATATATATACTTGGAAACCTGTACTGAATGTATTAATATAAAGTAAATTATAAAGTATATTAAAGTAAATTTTCCGTTATTAGTTCACATCGGTACGTCATAACCACAGTGTTGCAGGGGTGTTGAAGAAACACGTTTTGAAAAAAAATGAAACATAAATCCTCCATCTGATCGTAGACATGTATACAGATAAAATAAATGTTAGATTATTTGCAACTTTTATATGTTCAACGGCAAACGTAACCGTGAATGTGTCATCTTTGTACAATATTTTCCTTTGAACGTTTTAGTTTAGCACCTTTGGCGGTGTTTACTTGAGCTAAGGATAGACCTAATAGGCATTCTAAATAGCAATGATGTTTTGGTTTTTGTTCTTTAGCGCCGCACTCTGGAATATTTCAGTATATGACGGCGATCTGTAAATAATCGCCTCTGGGCCAGACAATCCAGCGAGTTACATCATGAGCATCGATCCACGCAATTGGGATACGGTGACATTCATCAACCAAGTCAGCGAGCCTGACCACCCGATCCCGTTAGTCGCCTCTTGACAACAAGCATGGGTTACTGAATATTCTAACCCGGATCTTCACAGAGTAAAAATATAGCAGTTTTAATGGGCTGAAAATAGACCCCCCATAGTCATTCGTAATAGTGATTATATGTTGAATTGGGCTGAAAATAGACCCCATAAGCATTATACATAGTAGTGATTCTAACATTCTAATTTTTTAATACTCTAGCTCACTTTGACATCGTCGTCGTGCGCCCATTAGCACTGAATTTAACATCTTTTCTCCAATTCTACTTAACATACCAATATGAATTTCATGTAACATATCCTAAATGTCTCTAGCTACAACGGAGTAAAGTTTTATTTTTCAATCCAAAACGTACGCCGCAGCTGCGCATTTTAGTTATAAATACAGCATTCGCTCCAATCTCATCTACTCAGGAGCTATTGAACATATTGTTTTAAATTGTTCAATATATTTCTTAATGTACATTTATATATGTATGCACACACACACACACACACACACACACACACACACACACACACACACACACGATCCCACGTGCATACATACATGCAGGCAGACAGACCGACAGACAGACATATTTTCTTTTTGGATATTCATCTTGCTAGAAAAACCTATCTCAGACAAAGCCAACCGTTGAATAAACACTGGTTGACTTTTGTGAAAGTCAAAGGTCCCTATAATTCAAACAGGCAATATAATTCATAGACAATAAATATATGGACATCTGTGTGTATAGCATAATTTATTAAAGCTTTCATGTGATGAAAACATCAATTATAAAGGTGGAATCACTTTTTTTTTATTTCTATGAATATATCATGCAATCACTTTATTTAAATGCAGTTCTTTTAATTAAAGTCATTAGAAATCGAAATGGTATGTTACTAAGTTTGTCCAGCAGTAGCATATATTTCGAACATCTGTATTACTAGATTTTTCTCTGAAATTACTTTTGAAGTATATTGTTCAAATACATACATGCATGCAGACCGACAGACAGACATTTTTTTCTTTTGGGATATTCATCTTGCTAGAAAAACCTATCTCAGACAAAGCCAACCGTTGAATAAGCACTGGTTGACTTTTGTGGAAGTCAAAGGTCCCTATAATTCAAACAGGCAATATAATTCATAGACAATAAATATATGGACATCTGTGTGTATAGCATAATTTATTAAAGCTTTCATGTGATGAAAACATCTACATAAAGGTGGAATCACTTTTTTTATTTCTATGAATATATCATGCAATCACTTTATTTAAATGCAGTTCTTTTAATTTAGTCATTAGAAATCGAAATGGTATGTTACTAAGTTTGTCAAGCAGTAGCATATATTTCGAACATCGGTATTACTAGTTTTTTCTCTGAAATTACTTTTGAAGAATATTGTTCAAATGCATCTTTAGATCGTATAAATTTCAGTTCTTCTTATGTATATCAGATCGGAATGAGCAAGCACCTACATTTTACCGCAACGATTACTCCCTTCCTCTTTTTCCAGAAGAGCTCCTAACTCCCGAGTCGCCCGGATGTACGCTACAAAATGGCTCAGTTTTCAAAACTTGTCTAAACATTTCTGTTGATAAAACTGAGGTACATATTGAACGTTAACTGACAGCATAAGACAAAATGGCAGCTCGAGATCTATCTAAAACCTTTGAGGAGTTCGAATCTGAGGACATCAGCTATGAGACGTCAGTTCCAACTGATTTGACGATGTCCCCAGAGCACAGCGATGGGGAAGGATTGACGAAGAAAAGACACATAACGAAACAGCTGATTGAACGAAAGCAGCTGATACATGACATACAGGTGTTGAAAATTGAAGTGTCACAGAAAAATCTGACAATTGAAAACATGAAAGCCGAAAGTTTATCGCGCGTTGAGGAATTGGAAGAGAAACTAAACGATACTCTTCATCAAAAACAGATTCTGACAGCAAGGCTAGAGTCTCAGTTGCAAATACAGGAAACAGAATCGAAGAAGCGCCAGGATCTTGTCAAGCAAGAGCTGGAGGCAGTTCGACGGCGACAGCAACAGTTGGAAGGTACCAATGAAAGACTCCAGGAAAAGGCTGGTGATGTGCGGCGCACATTGAAAGACTTGTCACTGTCCGAAGAAAAATATTTTCAACTGAAAACGCTGACTGAAGAAGATTTGTCACTGAGAGATTATGTCGCTGTAAGAATCTTACTGCTAAATGTTTACTATGGTCTTTATTTGTCATCTGTGTGACCGAGCTGTTAATATACCAAAGTGAGGTTTTGGGGTTATCAGCGCAGATACACGTGACTGTGCCTAGTCTTGACTGCTCACTTTAATGTACTTTTAGCACATTGTCCTCAATGTTTATCTGTCCATCCACAATCATCTAGTGTATCATACCTCCATTTTATTATGATAAATGCCCTGGACCCATTACCCACCATAGTTTCATGTTAAGTCTGAATTTAATGGCATAGAGCTGAAATAGTGACAAATCATTGAAAGAGAAATTCTGTGCTAAGTAACTGATAAGACATAAGTAGAGGGTTATAGCTAAAACGGTAACTCGGCAAAACGGCTACTACTACAAGATGAAAATGCCACCTTATTTCTTTTTACCTTGGTTTTAAAAACAAAATTGAATTAAACTTACAGCTGCACATGCAAGCACAATTATGTGTGTAATTTTAATCATCTTAAAACATGTTTTGTTTCAAATTCGTAATGGCTTTTTCCATGAAAAGTGTGGTTTCATTGGTGAATTTTTTTTCTTATATTTTCTTTAGATGCGCCTGTTTGAAGCAGTGAAACCACTTCAGACTGAAGTTGATCAACTACGTCTCAGCAAGCAGACCCTGGAGGAAGAGACACAGGTGTCGGCTAGGGACATTCTTCAATTACAGAAGGTATGCTTTGCATTTTGTTTATGATCCATATCAAACATGTCAAAAGCAATGTAGAGACCACATGATTATATTTGTAAGATATCCACTAGTCTACTAGTTCAAGTGAAAAGAAGTAAAAACAAGTAGTTTAACCATGATTGTGTAAACTAATTTTCTTGAGAAATGTAGTAATGTTACATGAAAAGCATGTCCAAAAAGCTTTGTGGACTATTTGGACATACAGTCAAACCTTGTTGTGTCGAACTTGGATGTGTCAAACTCCCGGTTGTCTCAAACTCATTTGGAATCCAAAGTATCCAAATTAAGCATAAAATTCACTGGATGTCTCAAACCCCGGATAACTCGAAGTCCCCACAAATTTGACACAACGAGGTTCGGCTGTACATCATTGTCCTAATAGTGTCTGCAACTTTAGTCTTTTTAAGTGATCATGTATGGCCTTCATGATATTAGACATGTTAGATGAAGGCAATTCACCACACCTTGAATGTCCTTCACCAAGTTGTCAAGGAAATGGCATTGACGTAAAACAAATAATCAGGTTATCTATCACAGTCAGAATGCCACTCACACATTGAAATCCTTGAATGCCATTGAAAGTTTCTAATGATTTTGTCCAAATTATTATGAATTAAATTTTCAATTCTTCAGTGGAAAGTGTGTGCTAGCCAGGTAGTTATTTGTGCATTGTGTTTGCAGGAACTGGATGAAGAAAGACAAAGCCATGGTGAACTTCGTGTGGAGTTTCAGAAAATGGCAATCAACTATGCCGATGTTAAAGGAAAAGTTAAACATGATGATTATAGAGTTGAAAACTATGATAGAGTTAAAGGGTAAGATTTCAGGATTAGAGTAATTTTGGCAATCTGTGGGTTCTGGGTTAGAATTTGTCCCAAGCTACTTATGCTGGAGGGCGGTTGGGTAGCCTAGTGGTTAAAGCGTTAGCTCGTCACGCCGAAGACCCGGGTTCGATCCCCGACATGGGTACAATGTGTGAAGCCCATTTCTGGTGTCCCCCGCCGTGATATTGCTGGAATATTGCTAAAAGCGTCGTAAAACCATACTCACTCACTCACTTATGCTGGATGTAATAGGCGACTAATGGATCGGGTGGTCAGGTATGGTTGATGGCGTGTCAACGTACCTCGATGGCAGGGATCATTGCTCATAATATCAATCACTGGATTGTATGGTAGAATAATATTTGCATTGTGACGTATGGCAATACTAAGTCAATTCATGTCCAATTTGTCTGTATATTACCTTGATTATCTTGTGTTGTATTAAGAATTAGGGCAATACTGGAGTGTATATATTTCTGGTATGTTCTCTTCTACGACCTCTTATATATTTGAATTTTTACATAAGATTATGATGATGATGATGATGGTTAGTATTTTATGAGTGCAATGGTTTAACTTCCAGGGAGCGGGATAATCTGGAGCATGACAGCCTTGATGTGCACAGACAGCTGTCAGTGTTGGAAGCAGCTCACTCCAATCTGCAGAAGGAACGGGATGATCTCAGCAGAGAGGTATGGTTATTAGTAAACAAAATAAAAGACTTGGCTCTTAGGCAATGGCTTTTGAAAATATAGTATATCTTTATTAATTAACAGTGACTGTTGGATCAGCTAAATTGTTATTGCGCCTCACTTTGTGGTAAATGACTGGTGATTGACCTGATTTTCTTGCTATATTAAGTTTTTTTTCTGTGTTTTAGAAGTGAGTTTGGATTTCAGAAAAAAGGCTTTGATGATGCAGATGTGTCACATGTTTTCTATGACACTGCAGGGTCAGGATGTTTGTTTGGTCCAGCACCACCATTCACTATGGAAAGTTGCATCCCATTAGCCCAGGATTATCTGACAAGGTTGAAGGTTGAGTCCCTCTGACTTTGATCCTTGCTTTGTGAGCACCACACCCATACTTGTTGGTTTGTCAGAATGTGAAGTGTTGTATATAATCTTCCTCCTCTCCAGCTGTCCTCCACCAAGCAGTCCCAGGCATTGCTGAAGCAGGATAAGGACTATCTCACACGCCAAGTGTCTGACGTTTCCAACAAGAGTTCCTTTACTGAGGAAAAGATACAGCAAATTAGCAGACAGCTTGAGGATGCTAAACGAGTAAGGGAGGAGATGTATGAGAAATATGTAGCCTCAAGGTAAGCACACATTACATTATATAAGTTACCTTGTTTTGGGTGCCTGGAATTACAATTAGAACAGTCAAATGTATGAGATGGATTAAAGGTAGCCCCCCCAGCGCGAATTAAGTATCATGATATGTATGGATACATGAGATAGGCGTATTGTGGCATCTTTTCATGTTTTTGTGACAGAGACCAGTACAAATCTGAGTATGAGGCAAAGTTGAGGGACGAGTTGGAGCAGATCCGTGTACGCACCAACGCTGAGATTGATCGTCTCCGAACTTCCACCAAAGAGATGTATGAGCGGGAAAACAGGTTGGTCCAAAATATGTCATCCCTTTATCATGACTGGAAGCAGGGGTCCGGAAAATTTAAAATCCCAATCGGACATTTGCATTTAGGCCACGCCCCCTTCAAATAGCGTATTTTAGTACGACTTTTCACACACATTACAAGTTTACGTATTCATAATATGATGAATTATGAATTGTTTCAATTTAAATTGTTTAATTCACCGGACAATTAATCACAAATAATATCATTTTAGATTTACATGGAAAAAATACGTTTGTTTCTGTTATAATAACGATCTGTTAACGTAGTGAACGGTCTAATTAATATTCATGAGTTATATTCATGAGTCTGCTCAAGTGTACGCGTTGTAACATTTGGATCGAGACTATTATCCCATATTTGGTTATCACGTGACCTCACGGGAAAAGGTTTTTTTTAAACTAAAGATTTTTTTAAAAACAAGACAGATAATTTAATCACAAATACTAAAATATCGTTGATAGCAATAGTTATTTGAATACTTTTTTCATCTGTACTTAATGATTGACCATAAAAAATTGGATATCGATCGTCCGAGAAAGCAAAATGGCGGTCAATCATGATACGACTAGCTACTGAAAACAATAAAATCTGCAAATCCTCATTGTATGTCAACCAAGTGAAAGTCGTTAGCCACGACTTACAAAATGATCGTCCAGACTTTGAGGGTTTGGCAGATCCGCTCGACTGATCTGCATTGGTCGACTGGCTGTCATCACGCTTTCGCTTCTTGTCTGAGGTTACGTATCGTAGCATTGTGAGGATAATGAGGTACATCGATGATGCAAGGTATTAATGTCCAGTTGTAAACACCTTTCACTCAAATTAACAAGATGTTTTCAGTAATTAATCCTCGATTAATCAGTGTCAACTCAGTTTATTGCCTGTTACAGTGATTGATAGATTGGACTATCATGTAGGTACGATGTATTTACAGCAATCAAAACAAACAAGGCTTGTCAGTGTAGTTGATCTTCATTGTGTTGCAACTGCAGACAGAAACTGCTCAGTCCTAACTGTTGATCATGTCCGGTCAAAATTTAAGAATGTCCGGACAATACTTTTTAAAATGTCCGGTAAGCAATATTTTAAAACAGGCATTTGAGATTCCCAAGCGGACATGTCCGGCGCATATGATGGTTTCCGGACCCCTGACTGGAAGTACAAGAGTTCATTTATGCAAAGACTTATCACTGTGTGGCCGAAATATTGTCACTGCAATATTAAGTCTTAGTTCACTCAACCTTACAACATGTACAAAGAAATTGATAACGTGACAGTTTTGGTTATTCCTCCTGTTATGATTCAGAAGGGTTGATAGAGACCACATTTTGTTCAGGGATGATGTAAACCTTGCTTTTTCTGAATTATTTCTGAAGGAACCTGCGCGAGGCTCGCGACATGGCGATATCGGAGCGGGAGAAGTGTCAGGCTGGAGAGAGGGAGATGAATACTAAATATGAACAACTGCTTAATGAGTGAGTTACATTTGATCCCCTACACCATTCTTTGAACAAATGTGATTAACATACTTACATTTGAGATCTGGAACGAGATGGCATGTTTGAATTAGGAAATTTACCAGATAGCTATAAATCAGTATACCCCAAACTGCATGTGTTTAACACTGTTTCAGTTCGGCATAGGTTGTGGAATTATAGTTTGACGTTACCATCAACAGACAGTTTACCCAGGAAAGAGTTAACCACATAAATGTTGCATCTGATGCCTTATTAGCATGCAGATAAATGTTTTCTGACTTGGATCAGGTACCGGAAGATGCAAACGTGTGGCGACACCCGTGTTGGTGATCTTCAGAATGAGGTGAAGTTGAAGACGTTCGAGGCTGAGCGGACACAGATGGTCCATGAGGAGACGGTGAAGAATTTGCGTCAGAGTGAGATGGAAATAGAAAAACTGCAGAAGAAAGCAGAGGTGAGACATACCTTTAGGGATGATGTAAATGACTAAATGTGACGAATGTTGTCTGCAGATTTTATCTAAATCCAAGATGGGTACAGTGACATTACTGATGTCAGTCACTAGTTTGTTACCCATTCGGGTTTCAGTTTAGAATTGGTCCCCAGCAGCCTATGCTGGTCGTTGGAGGAGACCAAATGGATCTGTAGGTCAGACTTGATGACTTGCTTGATTGCCTCACCGTACCCTGACGACGTGGATTATAGTTCACAATATCAATCACTAGATTGTCTGGTCCAGACTATATTATTTTCAGGCTGCTTTTATATAGGTGGAATATTTTTAACTTGCATTACATATTGCTGGTTACCCTTACTATCGAATACCTAACTTGAAATGAATGACGATCTGTCAGGGTCTTCAGTAACTCTTTTGACACGTGAAGATCCAGGGTAGAATAGGTCTTTAGCAACCCATGCTTGCCATAAAAGGCGACTATGTTTGTTGTAAGAGGCGACTAACGGGATCGGGTAGTCAGGCTCGCTGACTTGGTTGATGCATGTCATCAATCCCAATTGCGTGCATCGATGCTCATGATATCAATCACTAGATTGTCTGGTCCAGACTCGATTATTTACAGACCGCCGTCATATAGCAGGAATATTGCTGAGTGCGACGTTAAACAACAAACTAACAGTAACTCTTTTGCCTCCTATATGTCATTATTCTCATCTTCGCTAACGAAGCAGGATGTAGGAGACGAGATCATACCTGTGTTTTTTTCAAGATTCTCTCCTTTGCTGGTTAAATTTCATACTGATCTGAGCGTAGTCGTTGTGTTATCAACACTTTTTTACCTCGGTGGACTAGGTTTTTCAGTGTTTTCGACGCATGGAAGTAAATAATCCATGCCTCCATGACAACATTTTATCTGTTGGCGGGAGACGTAGATGGTTGTTATCGACAGCGTTATTATCAAGCTGCCGGGATTGTTTAACACCATGTCTCCACACTGAAGATGTCTAGTGTGCCCTTCCCTCTGCGATACAGACTTCCTCACAGGCTTTTTGTAGGATTTGCTTCTTCATCGCCTCAACAACTGGCCAAGCATAGGCATAAGACATTGTTCAAGTCTACAAGAAGCCTGCTCCACCAGCAGTGGCACCTCAAGCAGTGCACCTTCCTCAAGTGCACAGGATGCTCCTCCAGCTGGGACTCTGCACTTGATGGGACAATTCCAAACACTGTCAGCTGAGGTCGCAGCAGTTAGAACAGCAACACACAACCAGGCGCAACCATTACCCTGTCAGGCACTCATTGGGAACCCATCGATCACACCAGCTAGCACCTCAAGGCTCAGCTACAGTCCCCCAGGGACAGAGCTCCCTTCTGTCTCCCGGTCAAAGACAAGGACTCTTTTTGAGGCAAGAATTGTGGTGCTTACCCCAGAGGTGGATCCAGCCGTGGCAGGTGATCCAGGTTTTCCGTGAGGAGATCTTTCTAGGGGACAGCCATCCCTATCCACTACGTAATGGTATGGGGAAGACTCTTTGTTTTGGCAAAATTAGATTGCTCTTGGGGACCACTTTGTGATATAGTTTTTAAAACATGGCTACCTAAACACACTCCTGGAGAGCTCCCCCACTGACATCCACGTTGAAGTCGTTGAGGAGGAGTTCAGTCTAGATCATGCCCAGTTTGCCACTAAGATCATCATTCTGCTGGAAAAAAGGCCATAGAGGAACTGGACCCACAAAAGCTGACCCCAGAGTTCTCGGTCCCCAAGAAAAATTCAGAGAAACTATGCATGATTCACAATGTTCAATCAACATTATTTAGAGCCTCCACTGTGGTACTGTGGTTCAGGATGACAATGCTTCCTCTGCTACGTCTGTCCATCACTCCAGGTGACTATCTCATCCCTCTAGACATCCAAGACGCCTCCATCTCCGTATCCACCAAAATCACAGGAAGTACCTGAGATTTGTCTTCAACAGCCCCACTACCAATTGGCCGTTCTCCCACCTGGAATTTCAAAGACCCTGTGGTTGTTCACACGCATTATGAAGCCAAGTGTCTCCTACCTACACCTCAGAGGAATCAGCTTCATGATCCACCAAGAGAGACAACAACTCATTTCTCAACAGGATTTCACGTTGCGCCTGTTTCACCAACTCGGTTGATTACTCAACTACGAGAAGTCGGAACTAACACCGACCCAGAGCCTGTCATTCGTAGGAGGCCTCTTCAATACCACCAGTGGCATTTCCCTGACAGAGTTCAAAGCGTCCCATCACCCCAGGGATGGGGAACCCACTTCCTTGACCAGACAGCCTCAGGGCAGTCTCCAGATAAAAATCATTGGCACATCAACAATTTGGAACTTGGAGCCGTCATCCTGGCAGTACAGTATTGGGCTCATCAACTAACCAACACCAGGCTGCTTATTGCTTGGAACAACACAACAGTTATCTCTCTCATCAACAAGCAGGGATCAACCTGCTCAAACTCCCTTTTGAACCAGACGTTCCGTTTTAACTATCTATTAGACAGGACTCCATTGCAGGCCAGAGCAAGACACACCCCTGGGTGCAGAAATGTCTTAGCCGATGCACTATCAAGGCTCGACCGCCCATCCTTCACAGAGTGGAAGCTGCATCCTGAGTGCTTCTGTCTACTGTACTAACCTGTTTGCCCAAAGACACAACACTCGGTTACTGACATTTGTGTCATCAGTGCCGGAGCCTCAGATTTGAAGACAATTATGACATATAGGGGGCATGTCTTGCGACATCAAATGTCTCAAGGGTCATGTTGGGCAAAAGAATTACTGAAGACGCTACTAGATTGTCATTCATTTCCATTTAGGACTTTGATAGTAAGAGCAATATGTTATGCACGATTAGTATATGAAATAAAGATAATACTCTGATTATGGAATATTGGTGAGTGTGGCGGAACAATCAAACTAACACTGGTTAGTCTTGACCAGTTTTATTTATTTATAGCTGGAACATTGCTGTGTGCTTCGTTAAGTGAGTGGGTGTGTTATGCAGGTTCTGATCAAGGAGTACCACACCCTGGAGATGACAATGGAGAAGAGGGTGTCGGAACTAGAGTCTGGCGTGTCTGAGAGAGCCATGAAGCTGGAGACGTACGAGCGGATGGAGCAGGAACTGGATGATGTTGTCATGCAGGCTGCTGAGGGTGAGTGGCCTTCATAGATGTGCATACAGACTCAGATTACTAAAAAGGCTTTTTGTATTGATTTTAGCGCACAGCAAAAGCAGGTAGATGTGACCACACATTAATGGCATATCTTCATTAATGTGATTTAGTTTTCGGTATGTTCAAGGGCCCATTCTACAAAGTGCTACAACAATCATAAGCCTATGTTAAAGTATAGGAGTTATGATCACCTTTGAATTTGCTTGTGGATTGGGAGCCTTAGTACACTTAAATGCTGTCAAAGCTTGGCACATGGTATTGGTTATTCATTTACTTCAGAACCATAACCAGTACTTCAGATTGCCAGAAACCCCAGAAAGCATTATTGTAAATTGATTTGCTAAGATGGCTAGATACAGTCACCATATGCTGCTACGCTAGACTTTCCTGATTCTCATAACACAACAACACATGCATGATCAACTGTTCTGTTATATTCCAGTTGAGAACGAAGAGGATGCGGAACGGGTGTTGTTCTCCTATGGGTATGGAGCCAATGTGCCCAGTACATCCAAGAGAAGACTGCAACAGAGGTAGGCTGTCATCTCACCAGTCTTTTGTCTTCAGTGATACAGCCTTACCAGTCTATTGTCTTCAGTGATACAGCCTAACCAGTCTATTGTCTTCAGTGATACAGCCTACCCAGTCTATTTATCTTCAGTGATACAGCCTAACCAGTCTGTTGTCTTCAGTGATACAGCCTAACCAGTCTGTTGTCTTCAGTGATACAGCCTAACCAGTCTATTGTCTTCAGTGATACAGCCTAACCAGTCTATTGTCTTCAGTGATACAGCCTAACCAGTCTATTGTCTTCAGTGATACAGCCTAACCAGTCTGTTGTCTTCAGTGCTACAGTCTAACCAGTCTATTGTCTTTATTGATATAGCCTAACCAGTCTATTATCTTCATTGATATAGCCTTTCAATTAATATTTTTTTATATACACAATCTGACAATTCTTTTTCCATAATAACAACCAAAGGCCATGATGTGATATGTCAAGATTCCAATTTTGTGCCATTTGTTTGTCCAGTGTCCACCTTGCTCGACGGACCTTGCACCTGGAGAAGGCCAACACATCGTTACGACATGAGATAGAGAGGGAGAAACAGAAAAATTCCCAGCTGGCAGAGGAGGTCTGCATTGCTGTTCTATGATTTTGTTAAGCCTATTCAATCATGTACATGTTGCTGTTGTATCCATGGACTGAAAGGCTTGTCATGCCAAAGTTTCAGTTAGCCACATGGATACAATGTGTGATGCCCATTCTTGTTTTCCCGTACTATGATAGGGATAGAATAGTGTTAAGAGCAGGGTAAAATCACATTGGTCACTACTGCATGGATTTGTGCATGTTTGAACTCATCTTTTTTTACATTTCCGACGTCATTGAGGCATCGACTGTGTGTCTACACCTATCATGCTAGGTGCTGTGATCGTATCCCGCTTGTGACCGGGTTGTTATTTGGCCTTGGAACCAACAATGTTTACAGGTCCTTACAGTGATGTCACTACCCCCAGTGTACAGTACATACACCCTGTGCACTCAAAAGAACCCACTTGTCCGATGGTAGTTGACCAGATGGTGGAAACGCGAATATGTACACACCCAAGACACAAAGTGTCAAAACTTGTGGTGTCACCCTGGGCAAGTGACTTAGCTAAAATTTGCCTCTATTCACCCAGCAGGGAATGGGGGTACCAGATATGTGAGGTGGATGTAAAAACCTTCTAGGGTCCCTGGGCAGCTTGGGTTGTATACTCCCCAGGGAGTTGAGAATTATAACGGAAATGCGAACGAATCCACTGGTTGGGGAACAAATAAAACTGCATTTGAGCAGATACTAGTACCTGGATACCTGCGGTATATAAATGTATCATCGTCGTCATCATCATCATCATCATCATCATCATCATAAATGTAGGGACACTGATAACAACCTGTTGTCTTTGTTTGTTTTTCATTTTTTATGTACACCTTGTAATTACATATCATGCGCGAATTGGGTTGAATATGGTGTACTTAAATTCAATTGAGAACAGCATGTTGCACACTGCTTAACATGTTAAACTTTGGTGATAGTCAGTTCTTTTAATTCTTTTTTAAACAAATTGTTGAAGCTATATGACATTATTCTGTCACCTCTCAGGTGAAGAATGCCAATTGTCTCCTAGACCAGTCCCAGCAACCCTACAACTATCTTATAGACAGTATCCGAGTCCGTGATGATCAGATGAGGAAGCTGAAGGACCACACAGCTCGGCTGGAGGAGGACCTCAGGTGAGACTTGTTACATTGATCCTTAGGGACTTGGTTAATTATTGGTCCTGTGCTCCCTATTACTTGTTGAATACCTGTTCTTCTCCATGATTTGGTTAGTTGCATGTTGTCAGTCTGGCTTTGACATGCTCATAATATCAACCACTGGTTTGTCTGGCCCGATTGATGCGATTATATACAGGCCGTCTTGATATAGCTTGAAGAGTGCAGTTGAATCTTTTGAGTCAGATAACTGTAAATGAGAGATTTTGCATCTACATCCAGCATATTTCACTTCATATATCATCAGCTGTGTGATGTTCATCCAGAACATTGCCGTGAGATCAACATTTGATCACATGGAGTATAAGATAATCATTCTGCAGTCAGGACATTTATGCACCATGTAATATGACGGAATCTTATGTTAGTTTAGTGCAGTTTGTAAGATAGAGGCTGTTTGGACTTTCAGATCAATCCTACCAGGTTAGACACAGCCAGTAGTCTGTTAGTCATAGACTAGTGAAAAGTAGAGGTACTAGTTGTTTTCTACTGCGATCTCGTTTTTTAAATAAACTGCATGTTCAAAATGAGCTTTGGAGAAATTGGCAGGTTGAATGGTGTCTACTTCAGCTGTAGCTGTGTACGTATTCATTCCAGGAAAACAGAACGTGAGCGCACTGACATGGTTCGAACTAAGAACCAGATGTCCCTGGACTTGGAGAGGCTGCTTAATCAGAAGGAGGTAAGTACAAATACCTCAGTTATCAACATGGCTTGTGGCTTTGTGTTGGGAATCAATCATCAATGTAACTGGTTTTAAGCAGGTTAAGCGCTGTAAAACTTAGCTTGTTTTGAAAATAGAAATGAAAAGAATTGTATTCTTCACAATGATTCTAATTGCCTTACTATTTATGAGTACAATGTAATATTCAATTGGATTGAAGACGTTCCTTCATATCATAATAACTGATTTTTCTCTGGTCAATGTGTTTATTCAGTCGCCAGGACAAAACAATGTTGTATCATACTAAATTTCTGTTCACTTGTCAAAAATGGTGAGTTGTCGTCCTTCATATTGAAAAAAATCATCTCACCCATATGTAACTAGGCTGGCCTAATCATCTATTGTGAAAAGATGTACTTGTTGTTACCCTGTCTGGCGCTCGACATTAAGGTGCTAAAACAAGGACTGGTCAGCTCGGAGTCAGTGTAATATGTCCGAGTCAGCATCAGTCCGGACTAGTACAAGCAGCCACACACTGACACACAAGTGCATGCACGTCGCTATATAAGTGCAATAATCTAGGACGCATGTTAACACCCCATTTCACCTCACCCCCCTTTCCTTCAACTAACACAACTGAAATATTGTTCAAAGCAGCATGAAACCACTCACACACTCACTCACACACCACATGTAACTAAACTTTTTTTCTTGAAAGGAAATGGCTGTAATGAAACAAGTTGTGATGAATCTATCGACTCGTCGTCATTGTGACAAGAAGCCACATGCAAGAGAACCTGTCAAGCCTAAATCCATGTCCTACAACAGTTTTGACATGACAGATGACCCCAATATTGACCGACCTGGGTCAATTTCAATGGTAAGGTGTACACACATGGCAACATAGTTAGATAATATTTTCAGTAACGAATTTGAAAGGTTATTTAGTTAGTTTTCCACATATCAACCAGGATATTCAATACTGAAGTCTGTATACGAAGAATATAAAAAAATGTCTGACATTTTCAAATTATCTTTTGGTTTGAGATGAAATGTACTTTACACAAGGAGTCTATTTATTAGAGATATCAGGATATTGAGAATTTGGAAATCCAGCATTTGTTTTAGAAATCTTGTCTTGGGGACACTTTATATAGTTTCATTAGATTTGTTACATTCGTTTTACCACACTACTCTACTCTATCAGTACGCTATGCAGATGACTCTTCAAGCTTGGTAATGCATTGGCATGTGCCAAATACTTTCAATCAAATACACTGCATGTTTCCAGTCAAACTTTGCAAGACGAAAAAGCTGATAATACTCATTCCAGGTTTGGTGCCAATTAAGCTGTGTATCTGCGTAAAATACGCATCAGAAATGCAGACATATGCAGTAAAATAAAACCCAAGCGTATCAAATACGCAACGAACATTACAGATACACTACAAAAATAAACCTTTTGCGTATCATCAAAATATTGTGAAGCAACCCTGCGTATTTGATTAGCAGATCAGCAACTTATTACATTAAGTAATACGTTACCACTGTTATACCGAGGCTGTTGTCTCCCACAACTGCTGCTATAGCGAAATCTACCACAGAGATCTCAATTACCTCATGCAGCACGTGCGTAGCCACCTAGCTGCCATGTGACACCCTTCACTCTTGTCTCTTCGCTTGCTCTAGCAAGACGTACAATAAACTGCTCAAGCGTTCCAGTTTCTCCGACCATTCGGTGATATTTATTACTGTTTATTCTCTCTAATAAACTGTGCTTTTACGGGGCGTTTGCTGTAACTACGCTTGGAAATATTTTCCCGCCAAAAGGAAATATTTTTCCCGCCCTTTTTTTCTATATACTTGCGGGGTGTCTCGTATGCACGTTGCGTCTTACGTTCCCCTGTTCTAGTATATCTTGGGTTTTTTACATCACTTATACCTCTATACGTTATATGTGTATGTTCTATATTCGCATTGCTCGTTTATTTTCTTGTGAAAATACTCGTTTGTGACTATTTGTGGTGCGTGTGTTGTAACCATGTTTTGCTCTTTGTTCATAGTACAAACAAAATGTCTGACATGGATGTTTCGCCGTCCTCCACCCCCTCTACCCCCGCAACCAGGAGCTGCGGGATGTGCCGCAAGCGAGCGCTACCGGCTGTATGTGCAGTCCGTTTCCACCCCTGTGGTGGCCGACTCGTCCGGTCGGGGTCCCCTTGCGGGTACCACCACCACGGCTGCGGCGGATCCCTTGGCGGCCCGTTGGCTGTCCGGGGATTCCGTCGCTGCATTACTTGCATAACTTGTGGACTCCAAGCTGGCGGCCTTATCTCAGGATAGGCCGCTGGCTGTTCCGTCCCCGGCCACTTTGGTGGACGCGGGGTCCACCGGTACGGTGGCGGCTCCCGTGGTCACCGGTCCTTTCCCCGAACCGTTGCTCCCGCTATCGGTTAAGGACCGCGTGGCCATGGTTTATGACCTCTTTGAGGATATGCCCCGGCCGGTACCGCGGGGAATCCACGACTGTGGGTTTCTCCGAGGTATACGATGAGTCTTCCGACACGGCTTTCCCCGCATCAACCTTGCTGCGCGGTATCAAGCCTTCCTTGGAGAACGCCTTCGCGGCGGCCTCCGGTCGGGGTCTCCCGTTGCCTCCTAAGTCGTGGAGAAAGGGTTTATTCCCGGTACATGACCTTGCCTTTCCCGAGGCTGGTCCTACCGCGGAGGCCCATGTTGAGCGGTTGGGTGTCCGTGCCCCACCGGCTGCTACGGTAACGCAAGCTACCTTGCACCAGCTGGACGCCCTCGCTCGACACTCCATGTCTCACGGAGACACTTACTTGGCTGCAGCGGCCAGTCTGGTCGAAGGTTCTCCCACGGACCGTGACCAGCGCATTTACAACTGCCTGCTCAGTTTAAATGCTTCTCTGGAGTACGTTGCCGAGGACTCTCGGCACACACTTGCTCTTGTTGGGTCCCTGCATAGGCGCCTGGGTGCCGCTCCTAACCGGAGCGCGCCCCAGGCTGCTGCGGCCGGTAGGTCTAAGGGGTCGGGGTCTTCTTCCTCTGGGAAGTAGCCCCGCCCTGAGGGCTCCGGTATGGGCAATCAGCTGCCCTTTCGCGGGAAGACGGGGAACTGGGGGAAGCCCAAGTCGTCTAAGGACGGCAAGGGCCCCTCCAGGTGACTCTCATTGGAGGGGTTCGTATGCCCACAGTGCCAACTTCGGTTGGCCCTTAGGCGAACCCATGTCACTTGGCCCTGGACAGTTGCGCCTGCCGCAGCCTGTCAGGGCCCCCTCTCCTTCCCCAGTGGGAGCCAGACTCCAGACTTACTGGGAGAATTGGGAACAAGTGTTCGGCGACCCGTGGGTGGTCAACACGCTTCGGTACAGCTATCAGCTTGATCTCAAAGCGAATCCGCCGCTCACCGTTGCCCCGTTGGCAGGTTTCGATTCGGACACCGATCTTCCCATCCTCGCCGATGCCATCGGCAGGTTGGTGGAGAAGGGGCAGTACGGGAGTTAGCTCTACCAGAAATAACACCGGGGTTTTACTCCAGGATATTTCTCGTTCCCAAGTAGGACAGTGCCGAACTCAGAATGATTCACACGTCCGCTCCCTGGCTGTTCACCCGGTTAACCACCCCCATAGTGGGGTTCCTCCACAGGAGGGGTGTCCGGTACTTCGCGTACCTGGACGACTCGCTAGTAGCAAATCGAACGACGGACACCCTGTCACGCCATCTCGTTTTCGCACGTCGGCTCTTGGAGCAATTGGGGTGGATTATCAATCTCCCCAAGAGCGAGTTAACCCCTTCTCAGAACTTGCTGTTCATCGGAGGTCGGTTCAACACGGTGTCCCATCGCCTCTTTGTCCCCCCAGACCGGTGGCACAAGATTCAGGCGATGATTGCCAAAGTCTTAGCGGTGCAACAGACTGTTCACTTTTGGGAACAGCTGTTAGGGCTACTTGTATCAGCCCAGGACTGCACCGAACGGGGTCGTCTCCAACTCCGCCCGCTGCAACGGTTTTTAATCCAGTTGTTAGCAACGGAGGTGAACAGTGCGACCGTCGCCCTCCCGGATCGGCTCCGACCGCATCTGGAGTGGTGGACGGTCCCTTAAAATGTCTTATCAGGAGTCTCTATGCGGCCCTACCGGGCCACGTTGAACCTGTATACAGACGCCTCTCTAGTGGGCTGGGGTGCCCATCTAGAAGGGGAGGTGAGCTCGGGGCTGTGGTGCGTAGACGAACTAGGTCTTCACATCAATTGTCTCGAGTTCAAGGCAGTGATCAACGCAGTCAATCACTGGAAGCATCGTCTCGTCGACGCCCGGCTCATGCTGGCGACCGACAACACGACGGTAGTGTCCTATGTGAACAAACTGGGGGGAACCCACAGTCACTCGCTACTCGATCTCACGTTCGAGTTTTACGCTCTGGTGGACAGTGTCCCGTGCCAGATACGCGCCCGTCACATCCCAGGTGTGCGGAACATACTGGCGGATGCTCTATCGAGGCCTCAGGATCCGAGCCCCACAGAGTGGATGCTGAACCCAGTAGTGTTTCAGTGGCTGTGCGAACGTTTGGGTCGTCCAATGGTCGACCTGTTCGCAACACGGTTCAACAATCAACTCCCGTTGTTTGTATCACCAGTCCCGGACCCGAGGGCCATCGATCACGATGCTCTCGCGTTAGACTGGACGGGCTTGGACGCTTATGCTTACCCGCCGACAGCGTTGATACCACACATTCTAAGCTGGCTCCGAGGAGTTCGCTGTCGAATGTTACTGATCGCGCCCATGTGGCCGAACAGATCGTGGTATCCCGACTTGCTGACCCAGGTCACGCAGTCGCCACTCCCACTGCCTGTGAGACCGGATCTCTTGATCCACCCTCACACCCGTCAGCTTCATCCAAACGCAGGGCAGTTCAATCTGCACGCGTGGATGTTGTCACCAAGCGTCTGAGGAGTAAAGGTTTTTCTCGCCGGGCGTCTCGGGCATACGTTAGTATGCATCGTGATTCTACCCAGAAGGTGTATAATGCACGTTGGGTTATTTTCACGAAGTGGTGTTGTAAACATCACATTCATTCGCCAGATAAGGTATCTGTGCAGGATATTGCTCGTTTCATGTCTCACTTGCGAGAGACCCGGAAACTCTCCGGGGGTTCCATTGCCAACTATGTCTCGTCCGTTGCTACGGTACGGGACGTTGCTATGGGTACCAGTCTCTCCAAAGAGCCGGTGATACGGGGTATTATCAAGGGTTTCAAACAGCACGATCTTAAGAAGGGCCGCCTTCGGGCACCGGCCTGGGATCTTTCCCTAGTGTTGCAATCACTTACGGAAGCTCCGTATGAACCCTTGCATAGTGCTTCGTTTCCGGCATGTGACTTGGAAAACAGCATTTCTCCTCTCCTTTGCCACGGCGGCACGTGTATCCGAAATTCATGCACTCGATGTCGCCAAGGTACGATTCGATAGGGGTGACGAAGGAGCGGTCCGCCTGGGCCTGCTCATGGGCTTCGTCGCCAAGAATCAGAGAGTCGGGCAAACGGAGAGAGAATTCACTGTAAGATCACTCAAAGAAATCTTACATCCTAAGGGCTGTGCCCAGCGCAATTCCGAACTCCTCAGGTGTCAGACCTTGCACGGTGGTCAATCTGGGTCGACTCCAATGTTCCCACTGCCGTGGGTACAGGAGTTGGGGTCCCGCAAACCAGCGCACTCACACCACAGGTGAGGGCGGCTTTTTGTGTGCTTTGTCCTTATTTGTATTTTGACAATTATGTATTTAATTGTCTGTCGTGTATCCCAACCTTGTGATGCATGCTTACAAATACTGGAATTAGGTCACGCGCCTAATGCATACTTTAAGTAGGCTTGCTCTGGGATATACGGTCTGAATGAAATTAATTTCCCTCTTTTCGACTGTTTAACCTGATCTAAGATTAAGCTCACGCGGATACAGTGTTCTCATCCGCTGCGGCGATGAAATACCTATCCAGTGGGGCCGTTTGGAGTCACCAATCATTTTGGCAATGACGATTGAGCCTTACGGTATGCGCTTGACAGTGCTTTGGTATTCCTATAGGGTAACGCCTAGCTAGGTGCATGCGCATCGAGTGCTTCCACCTTGGTGTTTACTTCCGCTGGTCGGAAGAAACGCTAGCAGTCAGGATTCGGGTTGTAGGTGCTCCCCACCGCCTACTGTGGTAGTCAGCCTCGTTATAACAGTGGTAACGTATTACTTAATGTAATTTGTAGAATTTTCCTATTCGGAATATTCTATAAGTAATACGTTAACACTGGGCTGCTGCCCGCCCGTCCGTCCCCCGAGCACTTGCTCTCGCAAGAGACAAGAGTGAAGGGTGTCACATGGCAGCTAGGTGGCTACGCACGTGCTGCATGAGGTAATTGAGATCTCTGTGGTAGATTTCGCTATAGCAGCAGTTGTGGGAGACAACAGCCTCGGTATAACAGTGGTTACGTATTACTTATAGAATATTCCGAATAGGAAAATTCTACAAATTTTGAAATTATAAACGGGCATTCCGTCAACCTTGCTAAACTCCATGATGTCAGTTACACCATGATCATTTGCCATCACACTTTCTTGTGGAAGTATCGTGGTAATTTTGAGTCCTATAAAGCTCTCGAACCCACACAACACCAGTTTGCAGGGACTAGTAGGATGAATAGTGTTTTTAAATATTTAACTTAAATACCCACATGTGTAAAAACTAGTGTGTAACAGAAATTTGAATACCCAGATAGAATTACTGATACCCAATGATTTTATGATGCATAGGTAAAATACCCACAACACAAAAAGCTTATCTGGAGCTCTGTGACTCGCATCAAGGTTTTCTTGTTTAAAATTGTGTTCATTAGCCCATCCTCCTGTTCCAGACAATGCAGGGTTCACCAAGCTGGGCTGGCAAACTGAAAAAGAAGAATGCTGGAGGTGGCAACACAAAACTGTCCAAAGTGTATGGCATTTCCAGCTCCTGAGGAGATGACCATTGATCCAAACATCCGTCCACTTGTCTTCTTGTTTCTCTACAGTGTAGAACACATGAACCCTTGCTGTAAAATGTAGAACACTTGCCTTTCTTATATCACACTGACTGTATAGACCATATATCGAATATGGGTATTTAATAGTTTCAAGTAGGGTTGTAGGACGTTCTAGTACGCCTGTCTGACTTAACAGAATAGACATTGTCATGTATATGTAATGTAATCCACATGGGTCAAAGAGAAAGATTTTCTGGTGTGTATATTGACACATTATGAAAACGCAAGGTAGAATTTAGGAAATAACATTCAGCAAGCTGACGGCAAGTTTGAATCCTCATTCCGTCATTCACGTTGTTACAACTGGAAATACACTTTCAGTTACTTGATACTTATCAAGAGTCAAAATCCATTATTCGTTTTCAAAAGGTTTCAGTCTCTGAATATTTTTCAGTGGCAGGTATAAGTGTTTTTCCATTTCATGGAATCAGAAAAAAAGTCATTTTTAACTGTTAATTGTAAGGTCTGAGAATAAATTATTAAGCCCAACTGATTCTACTATATCTCCTCACCAAAATATTTAGGTGTCGGCTGTGAAGGATGTGCATATATTGCTGCTGACAGATAGGGAAAATACATGTGGTGAAAGATTGAAAATGAACTTATTCTCCTCGAAACTTACAGGTATTGAAGCTATGCAGTTGGGTCTATAGTTGAATTATATATTATAGGTGAGTTTCCACAGTAATTAGTACATATGTATGTATTATTATCTGATGTATACATGACCTTAGAAAGATGAATTATTGTTTCATGTATTAGTTAACTCATCTTGGTCCCACCTTTCAAAGAGATAACTGAAATATCTGTAAAAAAAATAATTTTTTTTACACAAACAACACAATTCTTCTATTATTAGTTGGGGGGCACGGGTGGCCCAGTTGTCTAAGGTGCACGACTCGCTGTGCAGAGTTGCGTCCCTTGGGCACACCTGAAACCTATTATTGTGTGTTCGAATCCCGGTTCGCCACAATTATGTTTGTCAGCACCATACCCGTGCTCGTGGGTTTCACCAAAGTGGTAAACGTCTGAGACCTGCATCACTTCGGGCTTTCATGTCACATCACGGCATGATATAACTGGAATACTGTTAAAAGCGGTGTTGAACCCAACTCACTCACTCACTATTAGTAGTTGGTGACACTTTGGGACTGACCATTTTATATTCTGGAGGAGGATGGCGGATGCTTAGATTTTCTATTGAAAAAAAGAAAGAATTTGTTCCAGAAAATAACTCCAGAATGTGTTCTAGGTCCCCAAAATATGGAGAGGCTCCTCCTTCCAGAAACATAAATATGAGACTATTAAATAGCTGGTCCGTTAATATGGTGCATTTAGGTCAGTTACTAAAAGCATCAAGGTATGAATTAACAGAGATAGATTGTTTGTGATATATTAATGGATCCTTACACTAAGTTACAGAATATTTTATTCATATGCATATATTGTATATTATTTATTTACTTCTTTACATACATTGATCAACTATATTGTAAAATAAAATATTTAGTCATGAATGATTTGTTTTTGTCAATTACAGAGTGTGGGATTTAAAATTGTGGATATTTTATATCAACAAATATAAGTGTCCTTTACATTTTCACAACCCTATAATTAGCATAACCACCACATGCTATACAAACCCTGTCCAATAGCTTATTCCAAATCATATATTTAAAGTCTACATAATTTTGTACTAGATGAAAAGATGATATAAGGAATTAATATATTTTCAATAGTTTATCTGAACACTGGGTAAGAATAAATATACTTTTCTGATGCCAAATGTCTAATTTCCAAATTTGATTGACTGCCTCCGTGGTCTAGTGGTGGAGCGTCCGCCGGAGAGCGGAAGGTCCGGGGTTCAATCCCCGGCCGTGTCATACCAAAAGATGTTAAAAGATGGTACTTGTTGTTACCCTGTCTGGCGCTTGGCATTAAGGGACTAAAACAAGGACTGGTCTGCTCAGTATCAGTATACTGTGTCTGAGTGGAATATTCATGTTAAACTGCGGCATGGTATCTCAGTGAGCTAGCACTATAAATCGGCTTCAGTCCGGACTAGTACAAGCAGCCACACAAACACACACCTGTACATGCACGTCGCTATATAAGTACAATAATCTTGGATGCGACGTTAAACCCCATTTCACCTCACCTCCAAATTTCATTAAGTTCCTTGACAACCAGTCATAATATAACTGTTTCACTGACAGAGTAGTAGTGCTGGGACAAGTACAAATTTACTACCCAGGTACCCTACTGCCTATTACCAGACCCTACCCGGGTACCACTGCAGGTTTGAAGAGATGGGAACAAAATGTCTGACATGGTATAGTTTGACTGTAAAATGTTTTCAGATACACATATGAAACGATGGTCATCCATCAACTGAAATAGACTGAAGTTTTATCTTTATGCAAACATAAAAACCAGAAGAAATGGGGGCATAGTCAGAAAGAAATGTGAACATTAGTGACTTGTAGTGTAACCATATTCTAGATAAATTTTGTAATCAGACAATATATCACATGACTAACCAGGGGTCCGGATAGTCCTGTGGGTACCCAGGTCCTAGTATGTACCCACCCAACCAAAGTAACCCGTCCCAGCCCTGGGGGACTAGCATGGTCTGGTTGATTGTTGCATTAACAAAATGTGTGACCAAATGTAGTAGAATAAGAATAGCCATAAAGATTGACAACTTATAATTTACTCATATTTTTTTTTTCTGGGAATATCCAATTTTGATTTAAATTTTACAAATTGAAAGACATTGATTCATACAACACAACTGGTATAGTATAATCACATAGAACGAAATCACAATCAGATATGGAACAGATGAACAATTTGAAGATTTTGTAAATGAGGTGGACTGATAACCTGAAAGAATATATTGTTTTCATGGTCTCTATTTAAAAGATATAAAATAAATAAATGGAGGATTTGAAGCACCACTTCTTTTGTAAGGTTTTTCAGTACAAAAAATGTTTTAAAATCTATTTACACCAAAAACACAGAAACAAGAACTAGAATCCGTCTGGAAGTGCAGTAAACACAAATGACCAGTTTAGCAATCTTTAGTCGCGAAGGAAGAAAAGACGAACCAGTGTAAACACTCCTTTTCATGACACTTGCTTAAAATGTGAGTTATGGAAACAAACTTTAAGTTTATGAATATGAATACGATGCATAATACGAACTGACTTATATATCGCGTAATGTCAAATGAATTTTTTTTAGGAGAATCTTGAAGGGAGATAACTCTCGTTCTGTTATTGTATGGCTGCCCACGCGCCGACAAACATCTGCCTGCAGACACTGTCGACAACACATGATTGAACAGTCTTTGCCCTACACTGACAGGCACGGTGAAACACATGAAGGTGACGATACTCCTTCCTGTGACAGGAAAACTATTCTTGATAGGAGTACTGATGGTTCAATATAACCCAGTGACAAAATTCAAAATCTATTTTCAGCAATATTTCTAGAGAATTGAAGTAAGGTCGTGTTACGGGATGAACATTTGGGCTAGGAGTCTATAATTTTGTGAACATCACACATGCTGAAAAGGTCGTGCTGGGGTGTTGTTGCCATAGCAGAATTAACCTTGCCAGATTATATTATCTCTTTACAAACATCACCAAATGTTCAAACACAGCTATATATAGGGCCTATCGTATTTTCTTTGAAAATCACATTTAGCATGTTTAAGCATAGTCGGGGAGATTTTTCCACAGGAAAGTAAATAATATATATATATATATATATATATATATATATATATATATATATATATATATATACTCCCTATATGTAAGTTGAGAATTTACATAGATTTGATAATCTATGAAAATGAAGATATATCAATGTTACTGATTATAAAACTGAAAACCTGTGGTTTTGATATGATATAAAGATGTGAATAAATGAAGTAAGAATTACTTTAAACTTGTGGAGGATTTTTGTTGTATGTTTTTTATGAAAGAGACTGCATGTTGCTAATGCCACTGTAGGCAACATTCCAACGACTTTGTGTATATCATTGCAACCTTTAAATAATAAGGTCTGGACCAGATGAATCCTTCATCTCTGAAGACAAGCTTAGACAAATATTGATGGATTTCAAATAAAGTTAATTTTAGACAGATTAGGCCTTAGGCTATGTGTCAATTCAAACACCTCCGGTAGGGCTGGGACGGGGTACTCGGGTCGGGTGGGCCTGAGTAGGACCCGGGTACCCACAGGACTACCCGGACCCGTGCTTAGTCAAGTGATATATATATTGTTTAATGACAAAACTTATCTAAAACTCTGTGGTTACACTATAAGTCACTAATGTTCCCATTTCCTTCTGACAATGCACCCATTCCCTCTTACTTTTATATGTTTGAATAAGGATAAAACTTCATGCAGTAAACTTCAGTGTATGCATGAGCGGATCGTTTAACACGTTTATCTAAATACATTTTGCCAGGTCTGTGGTCAAACTTTTCCAAATCGGACAGTTTGTACCTATCTCTAAATATCTACAGCGGGTATCCGGGTAGGGTCGGGTAATAGGGTGGTGGGTACCCGGGTAGTAAATTTGGACCCGTCCCAGCCCTCGTCAATCGATATATGACTAAAATGACCAGGGATTGGTCTCTTGAATACAACTTTGGCAAATATCCATGTATTTATTATACATATATATATATTTACGAAACATGTTTAAGAAATTGTCCCTTTCAACCTTCTGAAAGAATGTTTAAAACTAAGGCTTGCCCCTAATCTTTGAAAAATTCTGGAATTGCTGAAATATTGCTAAAAACATTGTAAACACATACTCACTAACTCACACTTTAAAAACAGGTTACAATGAGACTGTATCCCAATTTTGCACTATATACATGCTATTAAGAATGAAACTCAAGGACTTTTGTCGTTGCCCTTATGTTAAAAGATGTTAGGGTATCTAGATTCAAAGGGGCGGTCTTGTAGCCTAGTGGTTAAAGCTTTCGCTCGTTAGCTGAAGACCCGGGTTCGATTCCCGACATTGGTTCAATGTGTCAAGCCCATTTCTGGTGCTTCACACACACACCTGCCGTGATATTGCTGGAATATTGCTAAAAGCTGTGTAAAACCTTACTCACTCACTCACTCTATAGATTCAAATATTACAATAGTAAACATCAAGGACCCCAGGACCCTAGGACCCTGTTACGTTTGAACAGACTTAACAATATTTAGACGTAGCCAAAATAGGCACAAAACCATGATTCTAATCTCCCTGTAATTGTTCTTATTTATTTCAGCAACGTCTCCACCAGGGATGCACGTCCTAGAATTCCCCCGTGAACTGCAGTACTTTATTCTGGCCAAGTTGGATGGCGTGGCCCTCGGCCATGTTCAGTGTGTTTGTCGATCATGGCAGGAAATTGTTGGACATCTGGAATCATCTTTTAACATTTGGCTGAGATGTTGTCTGAAGGAAATACCATCCTACATTCTAGTAGAACTCACAGGGATGTGTCGATTCATTGAACAAGGGGAGATAACTGCAGACGTGTGTAATCGTGTTGGGTGGGAGTTTTGGCGAGACCTGTATCGAGAATACCGACGAGGCGAGCTGCTGACTCGATGGCAGGAGACGAGTATGGAGATTACCATTCCCTTCATGTACGGCAAGGCAACATCCATTGATCTAGGGGGTAATGCTTCAGTGTCTTTCTTGTTATAACACAACTATGGTTGAAATACAGGACAAAAGTACGCAATAATAGTCAAATGTTATGAATAAAGAATGGATGTTATAAATAAAGGTAATTATTTACATACAGATAAGGAATTCAAAATACAAAACAATACCAATGAACAACTCGCAAACAAAAGACGTCATGTGAAGAAAGAACAATGTGTACTAAAGAACGTCAGTGCACTAAAGGAGACGTTATGATAAAGAACGCCAGATGGCACTGCAATTTGTAAGACATTCCGGGTTTAATCGGCTTGTTCCACTGTGTATATGATAAATGCATGCGAAGTGCTCAGTGTATTACGTCATATCTCGTGCAAAATAAATACTTGCTTCAGCATGTTCAGAGTATCTGTATTAATATTGTGCACTTTTGATGGATGCCTTTTGTTGAGTAAACTGTTTCAGAGTGTTTTACGCTTCTGTTTATTCCGCTGATGGACAGAGAGGTACCTAGTGTCTGGCCACAGCACTGGCAATGTGCTGGTGTGGGAGAACCTGAGGGAGACAGACGCCCTCACCATGGGCCTGGTACATAAACACCACCAACATGTGTCCTGTGTCCGCGTGCTGGCCTCAGGTAGGGATGCTGTCACCAACAGTGCCGTCAATGTTTGTCTTGGATAGGCCATCTGTATTTGTTGTTAGTACATCATAAGCTATTCTAGGATGCTGTAGGATCCCACCCTAGAAAACATGTGTTTCTCCTGTGCTGCATTTCAACATGTTTATCATAGTGCAATCTCATTAAAATCAGATCTAAGTTCTCGCTGCCGCTAAACAAAGATCTGAGGACATCCCATTACGGGTCACGTCAGAATGACCTTTCATCCAACTAAGATCTGATTTTAATGAGATTGATCATAGTGGGATTTGAAGAAGGAAAGTAATTCTTCCTATCGCTTTGGTTTGTTTTTTGTCTTTTAAGCCCTCTGGAACTTTTATATTTAAAGCTCCCAACAATGATACAACTTTGAATTTCGCATATCGCAAACTAGACAATCAAGCTGTGAACCTCTTTTGCGCATGTAAAAAACAACACTTAGGCTTAAGAAAATAAAAGAATTTTTTCTCCGGCAATGAATTTTGAAAATAGAGTGAGGGCGGGCGGTTGTTTTGGGTTTTTTTTGCTTGTTCAAACTAGTATGTTCCAAATAAACAGTTGTGTGCCATCAACCTGGGAAAGGGCCTCCCTTTATAAACAAGCAAACAAACTCCTAATACCGCCATGACCATAACATGAGATGCACAGTAAAGCAGTTTGCATGTGAAAGGAAATAACTGTGTGACATATTGGATAGCATTGTTTTAGGATCTAAAATAGTTTTTAAAAACTTAAATAAGAACGAAACGTACGGCAGACTTTATGATGATGTGGGCGGTGCCTGAGAACCAAGACTATTATATTTTTTTTAGCCTAATCCTATCAGTTGCATTCACATTTCTCAAGCACTTACACCTTTTTCTATCTTTTTTTTTTTGGCCAACATTCGAGTGCTCCATCTGACATGTCTGAAGCTGAGCATGGAGATGAGAAAGACATAAAATGATATGAATGGCCTAATAACATTGTACATGTTAATGCTATGATTTTGTTGGTTTCACTTGCAGAATATGACTATTTGCAGTCCTGCATTATATCATCCTATTAGTCATTTGTTATGTAAGTCTGCTGAAAACAGTGAGGTTGCTGTTAAAATGTAGCACCAGGACTAACATTAGATATTGTTTTATGTACTTTGCAGTAATGGGAGTATGTCTCATAATGCAGTATTTGGTGTATATGATTACAGAAAGGAGCTGGACGGATCTAGGAGCTGCTCAAGTGGAAGATGCCTGTCCATGTGTTGCTTCCTCATCTCGAGATTGCGTCATCAATGTGTCAACGATTCGGGGTACAGACACACATCATATTGCACATTTTTCCCAACAAGTCAACAATCTCAGGTTAGTTTGGCACCTGTTTGAATGCTGGGATAGAATAAGTTATTGGCATTTCATGCTTGTCATGAAGTCAGGGTCATCTAGGGTTAGAAATAGAAATTCAAAACACACATTTAGTCAAGATATTATCATGTCATGACATAATACAATTACCTTCTGATATATCAAACTTCCATGGTTGACTTGTGTGGGATTAATTGAGTTTGTTTGATCAGGGGGCATGGGTAGCAGAGTCATCAAAGGCATTGCAGTTTGCTGTGCAGAGTTGCATCCCTTGATCGTGCCAGGAGCCTATGATCAGAGGTTCAAATCCCAGATCTGTCCTGACTAAAACCTTTTGTTTGGCCTGCATCACTTCTGACCTTGGGACCACAGGGACCACTAATGTTAGTTTATTATAACCGTATTTTGTAATAAGCATATATACAACATATATACAACATATAGTCGGGACAAAAAAAACAGTTTGCTATATCCGTCAGTTCTTTATAAGCGTGTTCATTATAAATGAAGTTTACTGTAGTTCCACTTTCAAGAAGCCACATCAAGATATCATATTTGTAGATAACATTAAACACCACCAGGGTGTCGTTGTACAAACAAGCTTAGCGCTATGACTATCGTAAGTCTATGTTAAGGTATGGGAGTTACGATCACCTTAGGGCTAAGATCGCTTTGTACAACGGCACCCAGACCAATAGGAAAGTGTAAAGTTAGAGAACAATGCCATATATGTTGTAGCCAGTCTGTAGAACTTCATTTCAGTGTTTGTGGCGAGTATTTCGTAGCGGCAGCCAAGTCGTCTGTGCTTCACGGGCAGCCTGTGTGGCGGGTGGCGTCCTCCCGACCTTTGAACCTAGAGCAGACGGATCAGCTTTGGGGACAAAGGACATCCAATGTCACAGCTGTTGCCATGACATTTGGCACGGTAAATATATATTATGTGTTTGAATGGCAAGGCAGATTAACTATAGTCATATGAAAATTGTTGGGTGTTCTTTAACTTCTTTTGAGTAGTATTCTTTCGGTCTCCTTTCTACAGTGACATATAATACTCATATTCTTGAAATGGACGTAATATTTTGACGGTGGACAAAGGGAAGTAAAGAGGATTTCCAAACTGAGAATATATTTGATCACTGTCCATACCCCAACATGAAAGTTGTCAATGGAGGTGAAGGCTATACTAGATTATATAACTGTCTATAGGCGTGACAATAACACATACCGCTCATGCACTGTCAGGTTTAAGGCTGGACCGTCTGGGTGCATGTCCCGGGGCGGGTCAGCGCACCTAGCAGGTTAGTGAAGGGAAGATAAATTGTCAAAGTTCACCCATTAGGAGCCAAATGGCTCCCAGGGCTAAAAGTTAACCAAGAGGGCTGTAGGGGGTTGTGTGGGAGGTGTGGGCTGATCTGTAGGGTGTGGTGCAGGTTGTGTCTGGGCTGATCTGTAGTGACCTGGTGTTGTGAAGTCTGTGTCTGGGCTAATCTGTAGTGACTTGGTGTTGTGCAGGTTGTGTGTGGGGTGTTGTGAAGTACGTGTCTGGGCTGATCTGTAGTGACCTGGTGTTGTGAAGTCTGTGTCTGGGCTAATCTGTAGTGACCTGGTGTTGTGAAGTCCGTGTCTGGGCTAATCTGTAGTGACCTGGTGTTGTGAAGTCCGTGTCTGGGCTAATCTGTAGTGACCTGGTGTTGTGAAGTCCGTGTCTGGGCTAATCTGTAGTGACTTGGTGTTGTGCAGGTTGTGTGGGGGGTGTTGTGAAGTCCGTGTCTTGACTAATCTGTAGTGACCTGGTGTTGTGAAGTCCGTGTCTGGGCTAATCTGTAGTGACTTGGTGTTGTGCAGGTTGTGTGGGGGGTGTTGTGAAGTCTGTGTCTGGGCTAATCTGTAGTGACTTGGTGTTGTGCAGGTTGTGTGGGGGGTGTTGTGAAGTCCGTGTCTGGGCTAATCTGTAGTGACTTGGTGTTGTGCAGGTTGTGTGGGGGGTGTTGTGAAGTCCGTGTCTTGACTAATCTGTAGTGACCTGGTGTTGTGAAGTATGCGTCTTGGCTAATCTGTAGTGACTTGGTGTTGTGCAGGTTGTGTGGGGGGTGTTGTGAAGTCCGTGTCTGGGCTAATCTGTAGTGACTTGGTGTTGTGCAGGTTGTGTGGGGGGTGTTGTGAAGTCCGTGTCTTGACTAATCTGTAGTGACTTGGTGTTGTGAAGTCCGTGTCTGGGCTAATCTGTAGTGACTTGGTGTTGTGCAGGTTGTGTGGGGGGTGTTGTGAAGTCTGTGTCTGGGCTAATCTGTAGTGACTTGGTGTTGTGCAGGTTGTGTGGGGGGTGTTGTGAAGTCCGTGTCTGGGCTAATCTGTAGTGACTTGGTGTTGTGCAGGTTGTGTGGGGGGTGTTGTGAAGTCCGTGTCTTGACTAATCTGTAGTGACCTGGTGTTGTGAAGTCCGTGTCTGGGCTAATCTGTAGTGACCTGGTGTTGTGAAGTCCGTGTCTTGGCTAATCTGTAGTGACCTGGTGTTGTGAAGTCCGTGTCTGGGCTAATCTGTAGTGACCTGGTGTTGTGAAGTCCGTGTCTTGGCTAATCTGTAGTGACCTGGTGTTGTGAAGTCCGTGTCTGGGCTAATCTGTAGTGACCTGGTGTTGTGAAGTCCGTGTCTTGGCTAATCTGTAGTGACCTGGTGTTGTGAAGTCCGTGTCTGGGCTAATCTGTAGTGACCTGGTGTTGTGAAGTCCGTGTCTTGGCTAATCTGTAGTGACCTGGTGTTGTGAAGTCCGTGTCTGGGCTAATCTGTAGTGACCTGGTGTTGTGAAGTCCGTGTCTGGGCTAATCTGTAGTGACCTGGTGTTGTGAAGTCCGTGTCTGGGCTAATCTGTAGTGACCTGGTGTTGTGAAGTCCGTGTCTGGGCTAATCTGTAGTGACCTGGTGTTGTGAAGTCCGTGTCTGGGCTAATCTGTAGTGACCTGGTGTTGTGAAGTACGTGTCTTGGCTAATCTGTAGTGACCTGGTGTTGTGAAGTCCGTGTCTGGGCTAATCTGTAGTGACCTGGTGTTGTGAAGTCCGTGTCTGGGCTAATCTGTAGTGACCTGGTGTTGTGAAGTCCGTGTCTGGGCTAATCTGTAGTGACCTGGTGTTGTGAAGTCCGTGTCTGGGCTAATCTGTAGTGACCTGGTGTTGTGAAGTACGTGTCTTGGCTAATCTGTAGTGACCTGGTGTTGTGAAGTATGTGTCGGGGGTGTTGGAAAGTTTGTGTCTGGGCTAATCTGTCGTAACTTGGTGTTGTGCAGGTTGTGTCTGGGGATGTTATGGGCAACCTGTTGATGTGGGACAGTGGTGTAGATGAGCTGAAGGGCAGAGAGCCGGAAGTCATACACAAGTTTTCCAGCAGTGTCAAGCAGATCTGTCTACAAGGGGAACGTCTGGTTTGTCTTCTAGGTGAGTAGTATCCTATTGCGTTATAATGCGGGGGGGATATAGTCGACATCTCGCCTGTCCGTAATTATTTCCTTTCCGGAGTGTAACTTGAAAACCATTCAATATCTTTCAACAAACTTGGCAGAGATATCAATGCGGATTGTTGGCATTTTTTTTTTCTCGATTTCCATGGAAACAATTTGGACATAGTCTCAAAAGGATATGGGTAGGTGTTGTTTCCGAGGCACGACTTGAAAACTGTAAAATATTTTTCATCTAAATCTGGTTCATGTATGAACCAAGGGCTGAATTGGTGCCTTTTGCTATTTAGGAAGTTTTCAAACTTTGAGCTTCCCCTGTTTCTATTGAAACAAGTTAAACGAAGATAGATGTCGTTTCCAGAGCAGAACTAAAAAACTGTTCAACATTTTTCGTCCAAACTTGGTACATGTATATTAATCAAGGGCTGAAGTGGTACCTTTTGCTATTTAGGAATTTAAAAAATATTAATTTATCCTGTTTCCATGGCAACAAGTTTGACTTTGACTCTGTTCATTGAGGTGTGTTTGTCCGGACCATATCTCTAAAACTTATAGGTATTCTTTCTTGAACTGTGCACATACAAAGACCAGGTTGCCAAATGGTGCTGTTTGCTACTTAGGGGTGTTTAGATTTATATTCATTTTTATGTTTCCATGGCAACAAGTTTGACATTGACTCTGTTCATAGTGTTCATAGAAATACAAAGTTCCAAATCCCTATTCCATGGTATTGTTTTAACAGCTCAATAACTACTCTTGTACACAGACAGGCAGATTAGATATAAGTTCTCTCATTAAGTTGGACTGAAAGTAACTGTCAGATAATTTGTTCTTTTGAATTTGTGGGGGCTGAGGCGTTTGTCATCTGCTGATAACTCTTGTTGTACAGCATGAAGTATGTGTCATCGCACCTCAACATCATGTCATTGTACCCTAACAACTGGTTTGCATGTGGCATAAAACAGCATTCACTCACTCGCTGACTGCCTTGAGTATAAGAGGAACTATTCTGTATGCATGCTTCTACTTATTTATAGATGATGGTAGCCTTTGGGTACGCAGGGACACAAAATTCACCCAATGGTTGGCAGACGATTTGTTCGAGACGTACCAGGGAACTGCAAAGTGTCTATCATTGAGAGGGACCATATTAGCAGTTGCTACAACTATGGGTAAGACATGCTGCCAAGCGTCTATCATTGAGATGCACTTTGGGCTAAAACAAGGACTGGCCAGCTCAGAGTCAGTATACCGTGTCTCAGTTGGGTATCCATGTTCACCTGCAGCATGGTGTCTCAGTGGGCTAGCTCTATAAAACTGACATGTCCGAAGTAGTACAGTCAGCCTCAAACACACACATGCATTTTCATTACTATATGAGTGAAATGAGTGATTGAGTATGGTTTTACCCCACTTGTAACAATATTCCAGCAAAATCATGGCAGGGGACAACGGAAATAGGCTTCACACATTGTGCTCATGTGGGGAATCGAACCCGGATTTTCAGCATGACGAACGAACACTTTAAACACTAGGCTACACGGCCCCCTAAGTGCAAAGATGTTGAACAAAACGTTTAACCCCATTATGATTAGGTCGTGCTCATGTGCAAGGGTTGCCCAGTCGTTGAAGGCACTACAATTCGCAATACAGAGTTGCATCCCTTGGGCATGCCAGAAACCTTAGATCATGGGTTTGAATCCCTGTTGACCCTGATTATGTTTCTAGGTTTGTCAGCGGCATACCTGTGCTCATGGGTTTCACCAAAGTAGTCACGTGATATATTGTTTTATGACAAAAATACACTATCTCCATGGTTACACTACAAGTCACTATTGTTTGCATTCCTTCTGACCTTCATATGCTTTATTAAAGAAACTGCTCCAGTTCACTTCAGGGTATGCATGATCAGATTGTTTTGTACGTGTATCCTCGTGTTATGGACGCTTAAGAAAATTCGTAGTTTTCTCTCGAATCACATGAACAACTGTAAAAAATCTCTTCGCTCATAAAAGACAACTTTCCCTTTAAAACAAGCCATCATCTGGCTATTTACAATGTCTGCATGATGCTACACCCCCTTTATGGCGAGAGTAATTGCGATAAACATGACTGTCCGAAAACGTATGATGTCCGAAAACCTATGATCCAATGATGTATACTACTATCTAAGTAGTTTTTGCAAGGCTCCAGTAAAACAATTCCCAACTTTTGAGAGCTACAGCAGGTACTCGGGTAGGGTCGGTTGATAGGGGGTCGGGTACCTGGGTAGTAAATTTGGACTTGTCACAGCCCTAACCTGCATCACTTCAGGCTTTCCTCCCATACTAAGCTGACACAAAATGATATAACTTGATAACTGTTCAAAGCGGCGTTAAACCCAACTCACTAACTCAGGCTTATACGTCCTGTGTCACCATGTGCTTTCCTCCCACATTGAGCTGGTATGCTACAAAACAACTGAAATACTGTTTGAAGTACTGTTTCACAGACGAATTTTGCGTTCATGAACTGATTTCATTTTCTACCATCAGGTGGAGTGTTCCTCTACAGTATACCAGACAACAAATCGTGGGATATGTTGGAGTTCAAACATCCAGATAGTGTTGTTAGGACTGGGAAAAACACAATCACATCTATATCACTTGGAGATGATGGCAAGAGTCCTGTGGTTGCCATAGCAGCTGATGATGAAACTATCACCATCATCAGGTGGCAGCCATTTTGAATTATTTGAAGCAAACAATTTCATTGCTGACATGACTGGGAATGTGTTGAGAATCTTGTCATTCTTGATTAGCTAGTTTTGACAGTTGTTTACACACATGCTTTTATTATTCTGGCATCTTGTGGATAGTCAAGAACAGCGTTGGCCAAAGCATTGCAGCAGCTATTTGAACCATGTTAACTCGGCCTGAGGAAGTGTTGTGCTCGATTACATTCATTACAGTCAAATTACTTAACATGTTTTTGTGAAGAATTCCAGCAGGATTATTGTGTCTCAGAATACTTTCTCGATGCTTGAAGAGAATTTCAGTAAGAAAAAATGTCAACACCTGATTTAAGCAAACCAGCATTGTTCAAATATTGCTCCGTGACAATCATCATGACTGGTGGAATACTCTTGTCTCTTGGTTGACAGACCACATCCATGGTCTAGTGGTTGAGCGTCAGCCCAGAGAGTGAAAGGTCCGGGCTTCCAACCCCGGCCGCGTCATACGAAAAGGCGTTAAAATATGGTACTTGTTGTTACCCAGTCTGGCGTTCAGTATGAAGGGGCTAAAACGAGGACAGGTCGGCTTGGAGTCAGTATACTGTGTCTGAGTGGGGTATTCATGTTAAACTGTGGCATGGTATCTCAGTGGGCTAGCACTATAAACTGGCATCAGTTCGGACTAGTACAAGCAGCCACGCACATGCACATGCACTCGGATGCATGTGGATATAAAAGTGCAATGATGTTGGACGCGACGTTAGTCCCCATTTCACCTCACCTCTTGATTGTGAAGAGTGTGTAGTGTTAAACAAACAAAAGCATCTGTGATCTAGTTGTTCTCCTCCGGGGCCAATCCATATTAACTTTGATGTTGTTAGCTCAACTGACACAGGTTCGTGTGAGCTTGTGGCAGGACATGTTATCTGTTGTCGATCTGTTATGAACATTTACACCTCGACTTGCCTGAAGTGAATGTTTATGTGAGGTTACATCTCCATCAAAATCTTTACTTATTACATCATGGATAGTATATAATAGTATCCATTATTGCCGCCATATTGAATTCTTGGGGGGAGGGGTAGCCCAGTCTAAAGCACCACAATCCACTGTGCGGTGTGGCATCCCTTGGGTGCACCAGGATCCACTGATCATGGGTTTGAGACTAGATTCGCCCTGATTATGATCCCTGGATTGTCAGCATCATACCAATGCGTGTGGTTTCCACCTGTTCGGGCTTTCCTCCCACTCTAAGCTGACATACCATCATTTAACTGAAACAAAGCATTTAAACCCACTCACTCACTCACTACTTTGAAATATTATTCAGCCATTTTTTTATGTACCGTTTTGTCAATTAATATATCACTTCATGATTGCAATTTTGTGAAAATAGATGTTTATATGTTTTTTTGTAATTTGAGTTTTTGCCCTTTTGTGATCTGTATGATTTTGATTTGAACTAGTTTAGAATTTAATGTGTGATATTTCATAAGTTCATGTGTGCCAGAGAGCCTAATGGTGCTATCAGTTTGAGAATTGTATCTACTTGATTATATTAATAGTTATAACATGAGTACAGTATTGAAAACAACCTATCCCTTCACTAGTGTAAATTTCATTTCAATATTTAACATATGTCAATGCCATTGCCAAATAGAATAGCAGGAATCACGTATGGATGTAAAGGGGGGTACTGTGATTAGAAACCCGTGCAGATCCGGGGTAGAATAGGTCTGCAGCAACCCATGCTTGCCATAAAAGGCGACTATGCTTGTCGTAAGAGGCGACTAACGGGATCGGGTGGTCAGGCTCGCTGATGTCATCGCTGATACACAACAGTCAACAAGAAGCCATACCAGCGGACCTTTGGGCTTCGAATGGACACCCACGTCAAACAAACAAATGTATGTGTATATATGCATATCATCACTTTGCACCTTGTTAAGCTTTGAGTCCATGATTTGATTATTTACAGGCCGCTATGATTTAGTTTGATTATTTACAGGTCGCTATGGTTTAGTTTGATTATTTACAGGCCGCTATGATTTAGTTTCATTATTTACAGGCCGCTATGATTTAGTTTGATTATGTACAGGCCGCTATTATTTAGTTTCATTATTTACAGGCCGCTATGATTTAGTTTGATTATTTACAGGCCGCTGTGATTTAGTTTGATTATTTACAGGCCGCTATGATTTAGTTTGATTATTTACAGGCCGCTGTGATTTAGTTTGATTATGTACAGGCCGCTATTATTTAGTTTCATTATTTACAGGCCGCTATGGTTTAGTTTCATTATTTACAGGCCGCTATGATTTAGTTTGATTATTTACAGGCCGCTGTGGTTTTGTTTCATTATTTACAGGTTGCTATGATTTAGTTTCATGATTTACAGGCCGCTGTAATTTAGTTTCGTTTTTAGTGACTGCAGCATTGAACAAAATTCACTCATTGTTAATAAACATTGCAATGTTTACTTGAGGTCAAATATTTTTACAATGTGTTGGGTCATTATCAATAGGAATAGATAAAGTTTTACCAGACGCAATACTTCACATTTTATGCACATTACTATAAAAAAATGGACACAAAAAATATCATTTTGAAGAAAAGATGGAAGTTGGAATGATTTAAACTAACTAAATTTAAGCATGTAGACAAGATTTATCTGGCATTTCTTGTCTGATAGGAAATACAGTCAATGTTAAGACAGTCCATGTGAGATTTCCTTCTCTCAGTCAATAAGTTTGATTCAAAGAAGAAAATCCACGTCTATGATAAACACAAGGCATCATACATACATGGTTTATTGAAAGCATTAGTTGTTTATTGCCAGGCAAGTTTATCTCTGCAGCCTTTGTAATATGCAGCTACTAGCTGAGTCGTCTCGCATCAAAACACAGGGCTGTACACCGATCACGGTGTTGGATTAACAAGACTGATTAATGAGTAATTTCAGTCATTCATAATGTCGGCATCGGTGTGCAGGACTGTCAGATAAACGGGTCTGAATAGCACTGATTAAATTGGTTCCCATTATTTGTCAGATAATGCAGACTGTCGGATTAACGAGACGTGACGGTACTTTGTATTTTATGTGTTATTGGCGACCCTGGTTTCCCAACATTTGGATGGGTGGAATGGCATAGGGATTATGAGCTGTGGGAGTAACCCACTCTAACATTAGGGGTACTTGGATGGTACTAACCTCATTGAAAAAGGTACAGCATTGAATATTTCTTCATATGTGATTTTTCCCATAGCAATATTTGAATATCAGTAAATAGTTTTTGAAATATTATACAATTACAATAAATGTTTGAAAATCAACATACTTTCTAAAATAATATTTTAAATTCGTTAAATATGTTATTTTCATAATTTAAACTAAGGATATGTACATGGATGTAGTAGCCCATACAAATATTGAGTACACATATAAATTGAACAATCGATTGTCCAACCAAATGGGATACAGCGACTTTCTGCTCTCTCGGGATGGGACTCCAGGGATTCGTGGAGGTTGCGGGAGTTCTTCTTTCTGGGTCGAACAGGACTTCCAATATGTAATTGGAGTATCGTGGTTTCAGTGTAGGCTTGTTCTGTCTTGAAGAAGTTTATCATATATAGATGTTTGGGTGAGGACTGCCCCAAATGGTTGTCAACTTCTGATACCACCCCTCAACATGGTTGGTGCTTCTGGGGCACCAGTTTCATGGTGGTTCCACATATGGCCATTGGTGCCTTCTACCCAAAAGTCTGTAACATTTTTAGCAAATCTTAGTACTCAAGGGTCGTGAAGGGGTATTCATTAAGGACATTAAGCCACATGTCTTCAATGCCAGCTGGGGGCACGGGTGGCCCAGTTGTCTAAGGCACCGCGATTCGCTGTGCAGAGTTGCGTCCCTTGGGCACGTCAGAAACCTAAGACTGTGGGTTCGAATCCCATTTCGCCCTGATTATGTTTCTAGGTTTGTCAGCACCATACCCGTGCTCGTGGGTTTCACCAAAGTGGTAAACGTCTGAGACCTGCATCACTTCGGGCTTTCCTCCCACATTAAGCTGACACGCCGGGATATAACTGGAATACTGTTAAAAGCGGCATTAAACCCAACTCACTCCCTCAATGCCAGCTACAGGAACTAATGGCTAATCGGAAGTTGACTGGGTCGTCTTGACGAAAGTCAGCTTGCTGTCTTTGTTTCTGCACATCTTGCCAAATGCCCACTCATGTCACTGAACACCCCTTTCAGTGGGATGGTCCAAATCACCCCGCTATTGTTCTGTGCCTGACTGACTTTGTTGTTTAAAGATATGTTGTGAAACCAGAGCGACACAGCGTCTTGGAACCCCCAAATCTATAGACAAAGGTATATTCCTTAACAGTGGTTCTTAAAATATAACGATAGACTTTCAAGTCATGTTTTGCAAAATTGACCATCCCAGAAAAAAAACATGTATTGGAATTCACAACTCTTGAAATGGTTTTGATACTTCTTTTATTTTAATGCTATCATTATTACAATCATAGAGAGCTTATATCAGAACTACAATCATAATGAGCCTATATCAGAACTACAATCATTGAGAGCCTATATCAGAACTACAATCATTGAGAGCCTATATCAGAACTACAATCATTGAGAGCCTATATCAGAACTACAATCATTGAGAGCCTATATCAGAACTACAATCATAATGAGCCTATATCAGAACTACAATCATTGAGAGCCTATATCAGAACTACAATCATTGAGAGCCTATATCAGAACTACAATCATAGAGAGCCTATATCAGAACTACAATCATTGAGAGCCTATATAAGAACTACAATCATAGAGAGCCTATATCAGAACTACAATCATAGAGAGCCTATATCAGAACTACAATCATAGAGAGCCTATATCAGAACTACAATCATAGAGAGCCTATATCAGAACTACAATTATTGAGAGCCTATATCAGTATTACATTCATACTACTCAAACACATCAGTCTGCATATCTCACCTCTAAGTAGTAAATAGAGATATATATGAGTATGTTATCATACTGGTTTTACGAAACGAGTCTCAGAATTTCTTGTATTTCCCCGAGCAAGAGTGAGGGTAATACATGTTATCTGACACAAGTTTCGTAAAATCAGTGTGACACACATGCTCATATAATATAATCTCTTTTGAAGTAATTTCTTTATTACCGATTATTTCTTATCCTTCTGAGCTCCCTTCAGAAAAATGTGTCATAATAATAATCCTTTTGAGCTCCCCATTACAGAAATATGTCATAATATCTGAATGACGCAACAATGCTGTCCGGTAGGGCTGGGACTGGTACCTCGGGTCCTAGGGTCGGATGGGTCCTGAGTAGGATCCGGGTACCCACAGGACTACCCGGACCCGTGGTTAGTCACGTGATATATTGTTTAATGACTAAAACTCACTATAGCTCAGTGGTTATACACTATATGTCGCTAATGTTCGCATTTCTTTCTGACGTTACACACATTCCTTTTGACTTGCTGCATATGTTTGAGTAAGGATAACGCTTCAGTCAACTTCCGTGTCAACTTTCGTTTGATACATGTATCTAAATAGTTTTGGCCAGGGCTGTGTTAAAACAATTCTGAATCAGACATTTTGTTCCAAACTCTTGAGACCTGCAGTGGGTGGCCTGGGTAGGGTCGGGTAATAGGGGGTCGGATAGCCGGGTAGTAAATTTGGACTCGTCCCAGTCCTACTGTCCGGATGATGGAAACAATACACTGTTGTGGTGTGGCTGTATTTGCCAAACAAGTGGAAGTGAAATGTCTACATCGTCAAAATAACAATGCTATGACGTTTTGGTCATTCATTGAAAAATTTCAGAATATTTAATGTATGTTCTAATTTGTAAAATATGTTATGCATCATCAGTTTCTTTGATTTTGGTTTAATTTCCATTGAGTTGTACTACTTCCTTTCAACCACTTATCACTTATTAAATGTCTTGTAAAATCATTCCAAATACGCCTACACAATGTTTCAAATACTTTTATGCAGAACAAATAAAATAATATTAGTATTATTTTTGTCTGTGTCTGGTAACTATGTCTGGTAATGACAAAAATTAAAAGACGGTCAACATGGATGGTCATATTGGCAGCTGCGTATGAATAGTATGATCACCACTGTGGATGACCAACCCTGGCTGTCATGTGTATGTCAGCATTGACACTCAGATAGCTCAGATAGCTTAACCACTTTCTCACTCAAACATCTTGTCCAAAGTTCATTGAAGCTGAGAAAAACATGTTAAGAAAACCTGAAGTCAGATTGCTACATACGAACTCCCAACAGTGTTTGCTTTATATAAACTCACGACAGTGTTTGCTTCCTGTGAACTCACAACAGTGTTTGCAGTGTTTGGATCGATGCTCATGATATCAATCACTGGATTGTCTGGTCCAGACTCGATTATTTACAAACCGCCGTCATAGAGCTGGAATATTGCTGAGTGCGGCATAAAATGACAAACCAACCAACAACACAACAATGTTTGCTTCCTATAAACTCACAACAGAGTTTGCTTAATAAAACTAGTAACAGAGGACACAACTCTTGCCCTACCTTAGACGAATACGCCACCCATATTGTGTGTAAAATAGAGAATAAACCAAAGTCATCATCATTGATATATGTTTATTTACAACAAAAATAGTCACAATTATTATTTACAATAGGAAATATACGTCAACACATTATTTTGGCATACCAGTTAGAGGCTGACGTTCCTGCCAGTTCTTCACAAGCAGCCCACAAAATCCCAGTTTCTTTGTCATTGTGATGAAAGATCCGTGAAAATAGACCCATCATGCCTCTTACAATGTTATAGAATTGAGAAATCAAGCAATGTGGCTCTCTAGCTCACCTGTTTCATATGGACCTGCAACATTATAACAAATATGAACCGACGTGATCAAGAAAATATTCAATATATCCACTGAATTTGAATATACACACAGTCCAGTCCACATGAGGCAGCCATTTTGTCACTGTTGTGGTCACAACCTATCGTCCTAAGACACATTCAATCAATAGAAATATTTTGAATTTTTCTTCATAAAATATTTGGAAGTTCGAAATCCTAAAATGTACACAGCTCTACCCGTATGTACGAATCTGATACTGACTGCAATGAAAATAAAATACTTAGAGATCATCCAATGGAAGCTTTGATTTCAAGTTGCACCTGGTATGCAGAGAAATTAAGGTGTTATCTTAGTGGCAGACAAACACTGATAAAATTGAGTGACTGAGTGAGTTGGGTTTAACACGGCTTTTAACAGTATTCCAGTTACATCACAGCGTGTCAGCTTAATGTGGGAGGAAAGCCCAAAGTGATGCTGGTCTCAGACTCCGGTGAAACCCACGAGCACGGGTATGGTGCTGACAAACCTAGAAACATAATCAGAGCAAACCCACAATCATGGGTTTCTGGCGTTCCCAAGGGAGGTAACTCTGCACAGCGAATCGCGGCGCCTTAGACGACACTGATAAAAGTTTGAGTGGAACTAGACCTCCTACCTACTTAGGGACTGGCCTTTAACTCTGTGCGTGTGTGGCTTTTTTGTTGTTTTTTTTGTGGGGTGTGGAGGAGATTGGTCTTAGGGTGTGTTATATTTTGCTGCACACCCCCATGTTATGTAACATTTTTTTATGCCTCTCCCCCAAAACAAAGATGTAACATTTTTTTCAAGATTCCCCTCTACCTCTAATAATTGACCAGTCCCTAAATAATAATCAAATTTATAAAGAGAAATATTTGAAAATATAGAACAGGTTTTTTCATTACAGGGGTGAGAATCTTCCACGAATTTTAGTGATCACAAATTTGTTAAAATCTCACGGCTTCTCCCCTAAACAACCCCAAATTATAGACCATGCTCCAAAGCAAATAAGTTTCGTCTGAAAAGAAAAATATCCATTCTCATCCCTGATTTTATTAAGAAGGTTGAAATAATGTGTGAGTAAATGATGGGCATCCTGTTTTCACAAACAAATTTGAAGTACTCCCTTGTCATGTGTTTAAAGCTTACTGGTATATCTCCACACATGTACAGTGAACAAGAGGTGGATACATCAGTATAGATTGTCAATGAAACAGCAGTTCACTCATACCACCAACTTTCATTCCAACTATCACATGATCAAACGTCATTGGTTACCATGGTTACAGAACAAAAACACTGTACACAAAATATTGCACTTGCATGATAAAGTGTGACAAGCAGACTGTTTGATTAACAACATGAAGCCCTCTGTCACGCCATCTTGAATCAAGGTGAAGTATCTCCTTCGTCCGTAAACAATAAGCAGCATCCCAGTGATGGAGACAATGCATAGACATGGACAATAGTCGTAATGCTGGGCCAACAATACAATCAGGTTATCTAGGGTTGGTAGGTGGAAAATAAATAGAGACTATTATACAAGCATTTTATGAAACGAGTGTCAAAGTTCTTGTATTTTCTGAGTGAGTGAGTTGGGTTTAACGCCGCTGTTAACAGTATTCCAGTTATATCACAGCGTGTCAGCTTAATGTGGGAGGAAAGCCCGAAGTAATGCAGGTCTCAGACATTTACCACTTCGGTGAAACCCACGAGCACGGGTATGGTGCTGACAAACCTAGAAACATAATCAGGGCGAACCAGGATTCGAACCCACAATCATAGGTTTCGGGCCTGCCCAAGGGACGCAACTCTGCACAGCGAATTGCAGCGCCTGAGACGACTGGGCCAACCATGGCCCCTGTATTTTCTGAGCGAGATTGAGAGGAATACATTAATTCTTACACAAGTTTCGTAAAATCAGTATGATACACATGCAGTGTAATAATGACTTTATTACCCATTATTTCTTAATCCTTTTAAGCTCTCCTTGAGAAATGTGCACTGATTGTGACTGCCATCTAAGAAACCACAACTGTAGAATGACGTCCACAATCGTTTCTAGCGAGACATCATTCCAACATTATGATTCAAATGACATCAACAATGCCGCCCTGATGATGATGTTTCTTTTCTTGATGATATACAAAAGACCCATGCTTCATGGGAATCACATCTGTCAATAGTAAATGTACACATATTCCTTGAATAGTTATAGTATTGAAAATGAATCATAAAATATAACAATAATGATGCAACCTGCCTTACTTTTTTCGGTGGATCAAAATCTAATAATTTCTTGTAGCCTCATCTTGGAAATTGCTGATAATGAATGATAATCATGTGAGTTACTGATTTATTTGTTAACAAAAACTTAAAGGGCAATAGCAGTTCAAATCTCAGTCTCCTTGCCGGGCCTTATTTTATGTGCCTGCATAATCACCAGATGCCAATCTGGGCTGAACACAAATGAAACCAGTCATGATTACAGGCCATAATAAGCACATTTGGAAATGGTGAAGAAAAAGCCATCCATATTTCAATACTTTCAAAGTTAGAGTGTTGCTGCCCTTCATGCAACACCAATTTTGGGTTAGGAACAGGAAAGTTTCAGTATTCAGAATAATTTGTTGATTTGTTGAAAAGTTCAAATGAAAGGGCTGAAGTGAATCACTAGCTGGAATCTCTCCTTAATCTCTTAGCAAAACAAGGGCAGTGCATGGACTATAACCCTTCCTTTTCAATGTCATTGGCGCATACATTTGCAAACATTTGGATCTGACATGTCTGATTTGACATGTCAGCTCAAGTAAGCCCACCGTTACAATGTCATAACAGTGAGATCCTTTGTACGCCATGGACAGTTCAGGACATATGGGTCTGTTGCTGTCTGGAACATCAATGAAGCGTGTACACGAGAGAACGAGTGAGGTGGATTTTACGCCACTTTTAGCAATATTCCAGCAATATCACGGCGGGACACCAGAAATGTGGGGAATCAAACTTGGTGCTTTGGCGTAACGAGCAAACACTTCAACCACTAGGCCACCCCACCACCCCGTATACATGAATGAACCTGATCATCACGAGTGAGTGAGTGAGTGAGTATGGTTTTACGCCGCTTTTAGCAATATTCAAGCAATATCACGGCGGGAGACAACAGAAATGGGCTTCACACATTGTACCAATGTCGGGAATCAAACCAGGGTCTTCGGCATGACGAGCGAACGCTTTAACCACTAGGCAAACGACCGCCCCTGACTATCACGAAAGACTGCAAACCTTTCACGACAAATGTACTAGAATGGATGCAATGAATAGTTGATCTTAGTTAAACAATGCCAACGTCCACTCCTGTTCGTGAACAGCTGTTCACAAGTCCGCTGGGGGGACGGTCAGTAGCCCCGTCTGTCTGAACACATCTACACCTTTGTGCAGCACACACACCCGCGAGTAGCCCAGTCGAATCAGCTCCGCAGCAAACTGAAACAAGATGGCTCATACTCTCATATGCCATACACTGCAAAGCATTCAACAATCGATTCTCCACACCAATGGTCCTTGGTTTGCCAGTACTACACCCTCGATGGTGGGTTTCAACAAACATTTAAGAACTGCATTACTTTCGGCCTTACTCCCACTTCAAGCAGACACTCAAAGATCTGAACTGCGGTTCAAAGTGGCATTAAACCAACCTGACTAACGCATTCACTAATGTGGACACAAACCTATCATTCCTAAGACATTCAATCATTCAAAATATTTAGCATTCCTATAATATAATGAATTACTGTTCAAATATCTGTTAAACCAGTTCATTCACTAATCAATGAATTGATTTCGGGAGGTTTGGAAGCTGATGTTATGTTCACTAGTGATAGACAACAGAACTCGATGCTCCAAGTAAACGTTGTTATTCGTTAGAATTATCTCCACACGCACAATCGTTCCTAAAACACTATGACAACACACAACACAATAAAAGTAACATTCTATACTTACAACTGTCAACTTCACTGATATGATTCACATGCTATCATAACTACACAAGAAACTCCCAGAATGAGAGTTATCTCACTTGCATCACTAGGCTACTCAAACTGTTAAAGTTGGTTTGTTGTTTAACGCCGCACTCAACAATATTCCAGCTATATGATAGCGGTCTGTAAATAATCGAGTCTGGACCAGACAATCCAGTGATTAATATCACGAGCATCGATCCACGCAATTGGGATACTATGACATGCATCAACCAAGTCAGCGAGTCTGACCACCCGATCCCGTAAGTCGCGTCTCACGACAAGCATAGTCACCTTTTACGGCAGCATGGGTTGCTGAAGAATTATTCTACCCCCGATCTTCTCGGGTCAACTGTCAAAGTGATGCAGCTCAGAATCTGACACTAAGTAAAACAATCAACTTGAAAATCAATTAAGTATTTCTGCTTGTTGGCAAATATATGCAGCTAATGCATGTAATGCATAGTTATCACCTATTTTCTTTTTCAAACAGTGAGGACCCGTGAAGATTCCGGGGTTGAATAGGTCTTCAGTAACCCATGCTGACACTAAGTAAAACAATCAACTTGAAAATCAATTAAGTATTTCTGCTTGTTGGCAAATATATGCAGCTAATGCATGTAATGCATAGTTATCACCTATTTTCTTTTTCAAACAGTGAGGACCCGTGAAGATTCCGGGGTTGAATAGGTCTTCAGTAACCCATGCTTGCTGTAAAAGGTGACTATGCTTGTCGTAAAAGGCAACTAACGGGATCAGGCTCGCTGACTTGGTTGATGCATGTCATCCATCCCAATCGCGTGGATCGATGGTCATGATATTAATCACTGGATTGTCTGGTCCAGACACGATTATTTAAAGACCGCCGTAATATAGCTGGAATATTGCTGAGTGCGGCGTTAAACAACAAATCAACAACAATCAAACAGTGAGATTAAACTGCTCAGAATGAGAGCATATCAATCTTAGAAAGAGTAGACTGAATTCTTTCTGAAAAAGTTGACTGAGCACAGCCACTCCCCCTACATTTTAAATGGCCAGTCCCATACACTTACATTTGCTGCATTTCTGCCTCTGTTGCCAATGATGACCCTGACTTGACCTCTGCTGGCATTGAGGGCCTGTACGGCCGGGCACATGACAAGGTCACCTTCAGGGGAGAAGGCTGTATGGAAGGGAATGTTGACACTGTTTGGGATGGTCCCTCTCTTGTATCTGGGCAAGGTCAAGGTCAGATGACTTGGTTCCCTTCTGCACAGGCTAATAGATACATTGGGAGTGAGTCTCTACCTTTAGGGCTGGGACGAGTCCAAATTTACCACCTGGGTACCCACCCCCCTTTTACCCGACCCTACCCGGGTCCTGGCTGTAGGTCTCAAGAGACAGGTACAAACTGTCCATGGAAAAAGTTTGACTGTGGCCCTGGCAAAATGTATTTAGATACATGTATAAAACGATCGGGTCATGCATATGCACTGATGTTTACTGCATGAAGTTTTTTCGTTTTTTCCAAACACTATAAAAGTCAGAAGGAATGCGTGCATAGCCAGAAAGAAGTGGGAACATAAGTGACTTGTAGTGTAACCATAGAGATTTTTATACGTTTTTTCATTAAACAATATATGACATGACATCATCATCATGTTGAATCTCATAAACAGAAGCCTTTCAACTTCAAAAGTTTGATACATAGATTTGCATCAGTAGAAAAAACATGCAACCAGAATATTTTTTGGGTCTCTCTCTCGAGTAATTTTATACAGGCAAATTAATTGTTATTATTGTTCATGTTAAACTGCGGCATGGTATCTCAGTGAGATAGCACTGTACATCGGCATCAGTCCGGACTAGTTCAAGCAGCCACATACACACACACACACACTGCAAGTCCATATAAGTGCAGTAATCTTGGATTCAACATTAAACCCCATTTCACCTCTGACACCTAACCTCACCATGAATGTGTCAGTCTGTGTGTATATCTATCAGGTGAGCTTCAGGACATTGCGCTGTGTTACATAATCTACTGCCTAAAACTCCCACTGGACAGAAAGGATACTCCTCCACACTCCTCACATCCACCACCAGGATCATGGGCTTGCTGTTCTGCTTCTTCTTGGTGGGGCTGCGTGTCGGCGCGGAACCCATCAGCTCCCCCAGCTCTATCAGGTCCTCCGCCGATATCCGTGATGCCTTCTCCGACTTCAACTCCTCCAGAGTCAGTGCCTCCATAGACTGTGGGCAGAATCAGCAAGGATTATAATGTCTGTGTCAATAGTGGGTGGACTGTGGGTAGAGTCAGCAAGGGTTATAATCTCGGTGTCAATAGTGGGTGGACTGTGGGTAGAGTCAGCAAGGATTATAATGTCTGTGTCAATAGTGGGTGGACTGTGGGTAGAGTCAGCAAGGATTATAATGTCTGTGTCAATAGTGGGTGGACTGTGGGTAGAGTCAGCAAGGTTTATAATGTCTGTGTCAATAGTGGGTGGACTGTGGGTAGAGTCAGCAAGGGTTATAATGTCTGTGTCAATAGTGGGTGGACTGTGGGTAGAGTCAGCAAGGATTATAATGTCTGTGTCAATAGTGGGTGGACTGTGGGTAGAGTCAGCAAGGGTTATAATCTCTGTGTCAATAGTGGGTGGACTGTTGGTAGAGTCAGCAAGGATTATGAGGTCTGTGTCAATAGTGGGTAGAGTCAGCAAGGATTATGAGGTCTGTGTCAATAGTGGGTAGAGTCAGCAAGGATTATGAGGTCTGTGTCAATAGTGGGTAGAGTCAGCAAGGATTATGAGGTCTGAGTCAATAGTGGGTAGAGTCAGCAAGGATTATGAGGTCTGTGTCAATTGTGGGTAGAGTCAGCAAGGATTATGAGGTCTGAGTCAATAGTGGGTAGAGTCAGCAAGGATTATGAGGTCTGAGTCAATAGTGGGTAGAGTAAGCAAGGATTATGAGGTCTGTGTCAATAGTGGGTAGAGTCAGCAAGGATTATGAGGTCTGAGTCAATAGTGGGTAGAGTCAGCAAGGATTATGAGGTCTGTGTCAATAGTGGGTAGAGTCAGCAAGGATTATGAGGTCTGTGTCAATAGTGGGTAGAGTCAGCAAGGATTATAAGGTCTGTGTCAATAGCAGGGGGTGTACAAGATTTTACAAACTTATTTGGTTTCTATGCCAGGAGATCATGATTTTACAAGTTACAAAGGCTTATTTTTCAGTGAAATATTTGTTACAATTAGATCTACCAGTGTTTAAGACCAGCATCAGATTCTCAGTATGATTACTTCAGGTTCAAGGTTAATAATACTTGTGACAAGCAAGTAACATCACATCACAAACTAGGATGTCATGATGGCCGACCAGCCAACTTGTTTGTCATTTGACAAGATAGTGACTTAATAATCAAAGGCGTGATGATAATACTTCATGTGCAGTATTACAGGTGGAAATTAAAACTAAGTGAAAACTTTATGTAATAAATGAATGTTATATGAGATTTGTTACAAGGTAATAATATTATAAAGATGATACAGTAAGATTGCTCTCTCTCTGACCAGGTCATTCTGTGGTGACTCGTTGTAATCCTGACTGTAGTAGGACAGTTTAGGACGCGAGTCGGACGACCTGGTCCGCGCGGGCCGTGCATGGTGGCGGTAGGTTGCACTCTTTGGGGTAGTACAGAAGATCTTTACTGAATCTTTCACACATCTCTCAATGTCAATCTCTGGAAGAGACACGAATATATATTATTGTAATCACAATATATACATTAAAATGGTTATGTAGTTCGAGTCTATAAAACAATAAAATATTTCATTTCCACATGTGTACCTAAAGTAAAAAACAAAATGTTCTAGCTAGAGAAGAATTTGTGTATCAGCGAGGTTTGATAACATATTTTAAGTCAATCTATCCCCAGTATGAAGCAGTGCAGCTAAAAATCATGAACTAATTGTCAAATTGTATAAAACATAACATCGTTTATAAAACAGTGTGAATTAATTCCAATTTGGCAACAGGTTGCATATTGTTTTATGGCAAAGGTGAATGTGAGAAGCGTGGCAATGTTCTTTCACGTTAAACCCCATTTCACCTCACCTCAGATCTAAGGACACCCAAACAGGAGGTCACTCCGTGTGAATGTTCAAAATAAGACAATAAAGCATCGAGGCTTCTAAATTCAAGGTACAAGTGAGGAAAGCATTCACACAAGCATATCTGATTCCTCCATCGCAAAAACAAATATAATCAAGAAAATCTGAATGGGAAAAAATAAGGTAGTGCTATTATATAGTTTTGGATATTTTATATACTGTGTCATCTACATGCACAAGGGTGTAATATCGAGGGCATATGTATGTTCTGTAGCAGTTTCTTTGGCAGAGATCAAAATTTCTGACTTTTGGTGGAATGGAAATGAAGTTGAATTGTTTTGTAAAGCCGAGATCTGATTGGTTCAAGAACCCTCCCATCCTTCATTTTAATTGGGTGGAAGTTCAATCACAGATCTTGATGCAGAGCAGTATCGTATTGTATAACCATCGAGATATCGTTAAATCTTGTAATCCACACCCCCTGTTGGCTGTTTACTAATGAAAATCTAAGCACGATATTTCATCGCTTGATCGAATACAGGACTCATTGCTGTATGTCACGGCTACTCGTAAGTATTTATGTTAACTTTTTAATGATAGTTTGTGGAATGTTTTTGAAATTGAATTACCCCTAACTCCATTGGATATTGGTTAAAAAACAACCCATTTGTTTAGACGAAGTGATTGGCCCAACCTAGGTAGTAAGCACTAAGGCTGGGTCGAGTCCAAATTTACTACCCGGGTACCTGCCCCCCTATTACCCTACCCTACCCGGGTACCCACTCTAGGTTTCAGGAGATGTCTCAAAATGTCCGATTGGGAACTTTTTTAGCATAGCCCTGCCAAAACGTATTTAGATACATGCATTAAACAATCTGGTCATTCATACACTGAAGTTGAATTAATTATCTTTATTCAATCATATGAAAAATCAGAAGGAATGGGTGCGTAGTCAGAAAGAAAAGCGAACATTAATGACTTGTAGTGTAACCATAGAGTTCCAGATAATTTTAGTCATTAGACAATATATCACATGACTAACCACGGGTTCGGGTAGTCCTGTGGGTACCCAGGTCCTACTCAGTACCCACCAGACCTGGGTTCCTCGAGGTACCAGTCCCAGCCCTAGTATGCACACAACCTAGGATTATGCATAATCCAAAACAGGAAGTGATGTAAAGCACATATTCCACACGTATCACACCACAAAATAGTCATACTGTGATAATATAGAGTACTTTGGTCACTGAACTCAGTAAAGAAAGTCAGCATCGATCAATCCTAATCGATGTGTCATAAAATTTGAACAAAGAAAGAGAAACATTTTGCATATGACATATTTAATAGGTTAGAAAGCGTACACAATTATAAATTAATGATAAGATACGGTACCATCCTATTGGAGCAAAAGATCTGACTTGATGTGTCATAGTACCCCAATGGTGTGAATATTCATACACTGGTTTGCCAGTCCAAACTTAATCAATAGGCTGCCGTGATGCTGCTGATATTACAACACACATAAAACACTACCACCAACCTGGCATATCCGAAAAAAGCAGGATGCACTCATTGAACCCAAATGAGAGAAGGCGATCCCTCAGCTGCTGGAGGATAGCTACCCCAATGCATAGCGGAAGTGACGAGTTGCCTAGCAACAGCGTGTCCCACAGATGCATGATCTTGTGAAGTGGGAATACATCTACAAGTACAAGAAATCCATGTCAAGTACATGACATCTGAACAGTCACATGAAGTCGTTGCCATCATCATCATCATCATCATCATCATCATCATCACTTCTTTTTGTCACAGAGGTGCCATATCATGTCTGTATGTTTTCATGGCTTCCGGTATATCTTATGCTATATTTTTTTTACCTCATCTTAGACAGAACTATTTTGTTAGGAAGTTGCTTTTAAATCGGGCAATAAGATGCTTGTTATTGTGACATTTTACTAATGGGGGCTATGTCTGAGAAAAGAAGACAACACAATTCTAGTACAGCATATCTACATCGAGTCTTCATCATAGTACTATAACTGTTGGCCATCTCAGCAGGGCTACTTACGGGCATACACTGTAAGTCTACATGATAGTACTGTTAACTGTTGGCCACCTCAGCAGGGCTACTTATGGGCATACATTGTAAGTCTACATGATAGTACTGTTAACTGTCTGCCACCTCAGCAGGGCTACTTATGGGCATACATTGTAAGTCTACATGATAGTACTGTTAACTGTTGGCAATCTCAGCAGGGCTACTTACGGGCATACATTGTAAGTCTACATGATAGTACTGTTAACTGTCTGCCACCTCAGCAGGGCTACTTACAGGCATACATTGTAAGTCTACATGATAGTACTGTTAACTGTTGGCAATCTCAGCAGGGCTACTTACGGGCATACATTGTAAGTCTACATGATAGTACTGTTAACTGTCTGCCACCTCAGCAGGGCTACTTACGGGCATACATTGTAAGTCTACATGATAGTACTGTTAACTGTTGGCAATCTCAGCAGGGCTACTTACGGGCATACATTGTAAGTCTACATGATAGTACTGTTAACTGTCTGCCACCTCAGCAGGGCTACTTATGGGCATACATTGTAAGTCTACATGATAGTTCTGTTAACTGTCTGCCACCTCAGCAGGGCTACTTATGGGCATACATTGTAAGTCTACATGATAGTACTGTTAACTGTTGGCCATCTCAGCAGGGCTACTTACGGGCATACATTGTAAGTCTACATGATAGTACTGTTAACTGTTGGCAATCTCAGCAGGGCTACTTATGGGCATACATTGTAAGTCTACATGATAGTACTGTTAACTGTTGGCAATCTCAGCAGGGCTACTTACGGGCATACATTGTAAGTCTACATGATAGTACTGTTAACTGTTGGCAATCTCAGCAGGGCTACTTATGGGCATACATTGTAAGTCTACATGATAGTACTATAACTGTTGGCCATCTCAGCAGGGCTACTTACGGGCATACATTGTAAGTCTACATGATAGTACTGTTAACTGTCTGCCATCTCAGCAGGGCTACTTACGGGCATACATTGTAAGTCTACATGATAGTACTGTTAACTGTTGGCAATCTCAGCATGGCTACTTACGGGCATACATTGTAAGTCTACATGATAGTACTGTTAACTGTTGGCAATCTCAGCAGGGCTACTTACGGGCATACATTGTAAGTCTACATGATAGTACTGTTAACTGTTGGCCACCTCAGCAGGGCTACTTATGGGCATACATTGTAAGTCTACATGATAGTACTATAACTGTTGGCCATCTCAGCAGGGCTACTTACGGGCATACACTGTAAGTCTACATGATAGTACTATAACTGTTGGCCATCTCAGCAGGGCTACTTACGGGCATACACTGTAAGTCTACATGATAGTACTGTTAACTGTTGGCCATCTCAGCAGGGCTACTTACGGGCATACATTGTAAGTCTACATGATAGTACGGTTAACTGTTGGCCATCTCAGCAGGGCTACTTACGGGCATACATTGTAAGTCTACATGATAGTACGGTTAACTGTTGGCCACCTCAGCAGGGCTACTTACGGGCATACACTGTAAGTCTACATGATAGTACTATAACTGTTGGCCATCTCAGCAGGGCTACTTACGGGCATACACTGTAAGTCTACATGATAGTACTGTTAACTGTTGGCCATCTCAGCAGGGCTACTTACGGGCATACATTGTAAGTCTACATGATAGTACTGTTAACTGTTGGCAATCTCAGCAGGGCTACTTATGGGCATACATTGTAAGTCTACATGATAGTACGGTTAACTGTTGGCCATCTCAGCAGGGCTACTTACGGGCATACACTGTAAGTCTACATGATAGTACTATAACTGTTGGCCATCTCAGCAGGGCTACTTACGGGCATACATTGTAAGTCTACATGATAGTACTGTTAACTGTTGGCCATCTCAGCAGGGCTACTTACGGGCATACATTGTAAGTCTACATGATAGTACTGTTAACTGTCTGCCACCTCAGCAGGGCTACTTACGGGCATACATTGTAAGTCTACATGATAGTACTGTTAACTGTTGGCCATCTCAGCAGGGCTACTTACGGGCATACATTGTAAGTCTACATGATAGTACTGTTAACTGTCTGCCACCTCAGCAGGGCTACTTACGGGCATACATTGTAAGTCTACATGATAGTACTGTTAACTGTCTGCCATCTCAACAGGGCTACTTACGGGCATACATTGTAAGTCTACATGATAGTACTGTTAACTGTTGGCAATCTCAGCAGGGCTACTTACGGGCATACATTGTAAGTCTACATGATAGTACTGTTAACTGTTGGCCATCTCAACAGGGCTACTTACGGGCATACATTGTAAGTCTACATGATAGTACTGTTAACTGTCTGCCATCTCAACAGGGCTACTTACGGGCATACATTGTAAGGAACCAAGGAATGGCATACAGCTGAAACAGAAAGAGCAAACATTTCAAATCAACAAGAGAGAGAGGGTGAGAGTGAGTGAGTTAGTGAGTGAGTGAGTGAGTGAGTGAGTGAGTGAGTGAGTGAGTGAGTGAGTGAGTGTGTGAATGAATGAGTGAGTGAGTGAGTGAGTTAATACTTAACGTCACATCGGCAATATTTCAGCCATATCGTGACGAGAAGTTAGACATTAATAATACATATATTTAAACTTTATAAAACCTGTCATCGAAGGACAGAACGATAACTAGCATATCACAGATTAGATTTAAAACTAGTTGAGGCACATTTAAAAGGAGAAAGAATGAGTTGACAACACAATATGAAAATGGGCTTGAGATCGTCAGTAACTAAAGGGAGATCACCATACCAGGGACCATGGGGACTTACAGTGCCTTTGCTTCCTGCATGGACCCCGGCAGGATTTATATCATCCCTTCAGTCACTGGCGATAGTATACCAGTCAAGCCTTGTGTTAAAATGATGAAAATACTACGTCTTAAAATTCTGGCATGCATAAAAATACCTCGAATGATGTTGGACTTACGAAATCAACAAGAACAAATACAGTATATGGAAACTGATGGTAAACACAGCCATATGTCTTGATGCAGTAATAAGCCTTGATGCCATGTTACCAAAGGTAACCAACCATAGCCTTCGGTTTCATTGTATGGACAGTATGTTGACCACATCTATAGTAGTGAGTGAGTATTGTTTTACGCTGCTTTTAGCACTATTCCAGCAATATCACGGCAGGGAAACCAGAAAATGGACTTCACATGTTGCACCGATGTGGAGAATCGAACCTGGGTCTTCGGCGTGACGAGCAACCGCTTTAACCACTGGGTTACCCCACTGCCCCACAGTTATAGTAGCTATATACATATGTGCCATATAGATCTACCTATAGGCCTAGGTGCCAGGCTACCCAGGTAAAAGCTGTAGGCTTACATGCCAGGTTACTATGGCAACAGCTGTAGACCTACATGCCAGGTTACCTTGGTAACAGCTATATACCTACATGCCAGGTTACCCTGGCAACAGCTATAGACTTACATGACAGGTTACCCTGGTAACAGTTACATACCTATTAGCCAGGTTACCCTGGTAACAGTTATATACCTATTAGCTAGGCTACCCTGGTAACAGCTATATACCTATTAGCCAGGTTACCCTGGCAACAGCTATAGACCTATATGCCAGGTTACTCTGGCAACAGCTATAGACCTACATGCCAGGTTACCCTGGCAACAGCTATAGACCTATATGCCAGGTTACCTTGGTAACAGCTATAGACCTACATGCCAGGTTACCCTGGCAACAGCTATAGACTTACATGACAGGTTACCCTGGTAACAGTTACATACCTATTAGCCAGGTTACCCTGGTAACAGTTATATACCTATTAGCTAGGCTACCCTGGTAACAGCTATATACCTATTAGCCAGGTTACCCTGGCAACAGCTATAGACCTATATGCCAGGTTACTCTGGCAACAGCTATAGACCTACATGCCAGGTTACCCTGGCAACAGCTATAGACCTATATGCCAGGTTACCTTGGTAACAGCTATAGACCTACATGCCAGGTTACCCTGGCAACAGCTATAGACCTACATGTCAGGTTACCCTGACAACAGCTATAGACCTACATGCCAGGTTACCCTGGTAACAGTTATATACCAGCATGCCAGAATACATACATCAGGGATAAAGCCGATGCCATCCAGGTGGTTGCCGAGCTCCGGGTCATGGAATGAGATGAGATGGGTGAAGACGGCCAGGTACTCTGTGGACAGCCAACCAGGAAACACATGATACAGAGATCTATATAAGTAAGAAGTCTTGAAATTACAGAACGTTTTAGTCTCTTCAACCGCCCCTATCATCAACTTACAACAAATATTTATGTATTAATATTGAAAGCCATGTTTCATATATACAGAGTGAAGGTTATTGTAACACATCAGTCACATATACCGTATTCGACATAATAAGCGCCCCACTCTAATAAGCACCAACGGTGATATTTGATATTATATTGGCTAGTTAACAATCCCAATTAGCACCCCTTCCGATTGATCAATGTACATTAGACTTTTTTATTTGTGTATAATACGCACTCGTGTGTTATATGGACCCTCAATTATGGGGAATTTAATTCTGGAAAATATATCTGTCGTGTATAATACGCACATACGTTTTACAGTTGAAATGTATAAACAGCCTTTTAATATGCATGTTCATTTTTGACTGGTTAAAAGTCACACAAGAATTCACATGACAAATTCCATGATGTGAATCGACCCTGCAACCTCACATTTCATGTTTAGCATTGTAACCCACAGTTTTCCCACTAAGCCACTATGGCAAGTGATGAAAGGACGTTCAATCTTAGTAAAATCTAAATATTTTTTACATTTGTATACTTATCCTGCATTACTCCGTATTGCATTTACTGCTATGTTTGACAGAGAGACGAACTGTGTGAGATCCAGCTGCTGAAGAAAGTTGTCCCAACCAGCCCAGGAGGCAGCGCCCTCTCACAGTCGGCACGTGACCCGGAAGTCATGACGTCACACCAAAAGACATAACTGCTTTAAACATAACATCTGAAACTTCGTGGGGAGGTAGCGTAGCGAAAGGGAGGGAACTTAGACTTCGTAATGCAGGATAAGTATACAAATGTAAAAAATATTTAGATTTTACTAAATTTTTTAACTTATCCTGCATTACTCCGTATTGCATCTTTATCAGACGGCTTGGCCGGTGGGCATACTTGCAGATGTGAACCATATTAAACCCTCGTCAAGGTCCGATGAATCCGCACCGCATACAAGTGATGACCGGAACATCTACGACCATTCCTGTCTTCAGGAAACAAGAGTCGATGCAAAAACGAAACGCCCGAATAGGTAACCGAAATACAATGAGGCGTGTAGCCAAAATATATAACTTACCGAAGAGCGAAAGCGAAACGCAGTAGAACCTAGAGCTAATCTGAGGTGATAAACACCAGAGAGTTCGACGGGCCCCGCTCGGGGAATCGAAGAATCAGCGGCGTCGGCGGCAAAATCTACGACCAATCCCAAGAGCGAATGCGAAACGCAGGAGAGCCCTCTAGGCTGGAGGCAAGGAACACCGGTGAGGTCGACGGGCACCGCTCAGGTACCAGAGAAGCAGCGGCGTTGGCGTCGGCGCCGGTTACCACATCTACTACCATTCCTGTCGTCAGGAAACGAGAGTTGATGCAAAAAGTAAAACCCCGGATAGGTGACAGCAATAGAATGAGTCGGGTAACCCAAAACTAAAACTGACCTAAGAGCGAATGCGGAACGCAAGAGAGCCGTCTCGTCTGGGGTGATAAACACCAGAAAGGTCGACGGGCCCCGCTCAGGGTATCGGAGAATCAGTGGCGTCGGAGATAGATGACCTGTTGGGCTACAACCAGGGACCAAAACTGTGAACGCCGGCGACAACTTTCAAGGCTACATCACGGAAGTAGTGGTTGGTGAAGGCGGTGTCCGATCGCCACGAGCAGGCTTCCCTGAACGACGGGATGGAACAGTATACCGTGAAGAACCAGTGTAAATACGATCGCCCTGATCTCATTTTATTTCAGGTAATAGCCTTTGGGGGGAGGGTCCAATCCGGCGGCTCATACGCTTTAAGGATGACCGCCCGGAGCCACAGGGAAAAGTATTCCGGCTGACCAACGACAGCGACGAAGGGGAGACCGGCAGAAAAAGGTGTTTCCTAGACTTGCGGCAGTCTTTAGATCGTAGAATAACCTTCAGTGCCCTTACTGGGCATAATGACGCTCATCCTCATCCTCGGCACCCACACTGGACGAGGGGGGAGGGGACAAGGAATGATCTATCAGGCTGTCCTGGGAGTTGAATCTTTACGCTGACGTCCCAGTACGGTCCATGATGAACGGCGCCCTGGGTACCGCATTCGAACCGGGCATGGGAGGCGTCGAGGGCGTGCTGTACATGGACTCGAGCGGCAGTAGTCAAAACCAGTAGAAACACCCGTCTTCTACTTAAGGTCGAAGAAGGAAGACGAGGGGAGTGGTTCGAAGGGTATTGAAGACCACATTCAGATCCAACGCAGGCGGTCCGAACTTGGTCTTCAGGTCTTCAAGACTGAACGAGCGCAGCCAGGCCCGTAGGTCGGGAATTTTCGTCTTTCTCCGATCGTCCGGGATGGCCAGAACGGAGTAGATGGCGACCAGGTATGTGGGGGTGGTAAGCCCTTCAACCGATGGGTGCTACACAAGTACAGAAGGAACTGATCCAGGATCTGCGGTGACGCTGTCATCGGATCCTGGTGTTTGTCAGAACAAAATGCCTGGAACAAGCATCAGTTATCAGCATACAGTCCCCCTGTAGATGGACGGTGGGCTGAAGCAATAGCCTTGGTCGCTCTAGCCGAATAGCCCTTGGCTTTCTGCATGTGTGTCAGGCGTGCAGACGATAACATGCGGGTATGAGGGTGTGGCAACAGACCGTGTGGATGGAGCAGAAGGTTGGACCACACCGGAAGTTCCAGGGGTTGTCTCTGGCTATGTTTCGGAGGTCGATAACCCAACTTCTGGCTGACCAATAAGGCGAGACCAAAGTCAATGGCAGGGGTCGAGTGGCCTGGATCTCTGAAGAACCGTGGGAGGGAGAACCGGAGTCGGAAAAGCGTACGCGCGTAATCCTTCTCAGGAACGATGGAAGGCTTCGACTGCCACAGCGGTCGTATCCGGCACAGGTGGAATGGAAGACGACAGCTGGCCACATTCAGATATGAGGCAAACAGATCTAGGGTTGGGGTGTCGACCGTTTCACATAGTCTGGCCCGAGGCGCCGGAGAGCGTGAGGCGTCGGAGAGCTTGAGGCGCCTGGAACGCCGAAGATGGTGATTCTCGGGGGCGCCGGTCGAGTTTGTGGCGCCGGCAGAGGGGCGAGAACTCTGGGTCCGCAAACACCACACTACGGTGACGTCGTCAGTGGACACGATCAACAGGGCGTGACCGAGAATGCACTGTCAGCAAGTGCCGTCCTGGATAAGCATTTATCTCGAGGCTGTTGCTGTGCCAATGGTGTTGATCTCTGGATCACAGGTGGTCACAATGTGGGCTGGCGTGGGCCACTAGCCACTGACAAGGTGGCAGGGGAGGTAGTCAGCAACAGGGGTCTGCGATTGCGTACCGTCGGTACGATTCGGAAAAAAGGTGTGATCGCCTGCGAGCCAACCTCAAGTAGACGAAGTAAACCAGCTTCACAATCGACCGCCGGGGCATCGACGTAACCGGGTAGTAGGAAGTCGAGGCAATATGGCCATTGCACGAAGTAATGAGATCGTTTTCATCCCTGAAGCGGCGTATAAGTACTCCTGTTCTTATATCGAGGTGACGATGGAGGACGACAACACGATACGAGGCAGGTATGCAACAGGGGTCAGTGGGACGGCCGAGGGACTTTAAGTATCAAATCGACACTGTGTCCGGTAGTCAAGGCGGAAGATAGGACTACCTGTCGTAGTCGAAAAGATCAAACCGGACGAAGGAAGGCGATCTTTTCCATCCCTTGAACGCCTATAGGCGCTATCGTTCTTATAGCGAAGGGTTGATGAAACAAGGTTCCTCGTGACAGCCGTGTTGGTAAAGGAGGTCTATTGTTTCCAACATCCGTGCATGGATGGACTGCGACAGGCGCCTGGTTGAGTGGTATCACCAAGCGTACAGGTAGACATGGAAACCAATCTGTAGAAATACATGGCACCCCTTGCCATGGTAAGTTGACCTAAATCCGGTCGGAGTTGTTGACAGTCCGAGTACTTGACACGTGACATGTAAATCACTCTGCGCAGTAGCCGAGAAAACCGCCTTGGAGTCGGAACTGAGGTGCAAACTCCACACACAGACAATCCTCAATGAACTGTGTGAGAGACGATCAAGTGGTGTACCCGAGTTTTGCGATAAAACACGGAACCCCATGGGCGTCGTGGAAAACCCGGGGAGCGCCGAGGAAGAGTCTCTCTCAGGAACGCTGGCGCTAGGGTAGGGTAGAACAGCGTTGATGTCTGCGATGTCGACGAAGTAAACTCTTTGTAAGTGGATGTCGTCGTCGAATCTGATACAGACGCTGTTCACATGACGCTCTGTTTCGATGGAAACCCGCAGGTTATCTCTCCGGAATCATAGCGCTTTAAACGACGGGATTATGGATAACGTCTCAGTGGGCAAGTTGAATCAGACCAACTGTCTATTGGTTGAAATGATTCCACCCAGGAAGTAGAACGATAGTCACGATCCCGAAGACCGACGGGAGAGTAGCGAAAGGAGCGGCGACAGTTGTTTCACCATGCTTCTCCGTGTGACGAGTTATGAGACGGCAGCAAGAGAAGAGGGCAGTGGCGCCGGGGAGGCGATTGCCGATGGTGCCCCTTAAGCCGCAGTAGAAGATCGGATGGTCGGCTCGTTGATCTGAGCTTGATAAAGCTTGTTGATCTGAAGCTTGTTGAGCGCCGAAGACATCAGAGGATGCGGAGGCGCCGGAGCGCGGAGACATCAGAGGCGCCGAGACATAAGCGGCGCCGAGTCATCAGAGGCGCCGAGTCATCGGAGGCGCCGAGTCATCAGCTTGTCATGAACAAGTCATGAAGCTTGTTGAGCGCCGAGACATCAGCGGCGCCGAGTCATCGGAGGCGCCGAGTCATCAGAGGCGCCGGGAGCGCCGTGTCATCAGAGGCGCTGGGAGCGCCGAGACATCGGAGGCGCCGAGTCATCAGAGGCGCCGAGTCATCAGAAGCGCCGGAGGCGCCGCGTCATCAGAGGCGCCGGAGGCGCCGTGTCATCAGAGGCGCCGCGTCATCAGAGGCGCCGGGAGCGCCGGGAGCGCCGTGTCATCAGAGGCGCCGCGTCATCAGAGGCGCCGGGAGCGCCGAGACATTGGAGGCGCCGAGTCATCAGAGGCGCCGGAGGCGCCGAGTCATCAGAGGCGCCGGAGGCGCCGGGAGCGCCGGAGGCGCCGTGTCATCAGAGGCGCCGGAGGCGCCGCGTCATCAGAGGCGCCGAGTCATCGGAGGCGCCGGGGGCGCCGGAGACATCAGCGTTGACGGTGTTGGAGACCGTGAACGGTCGTATGTCGTGCCAGGGGAGGCAGACTCTACGTTGGGAGCGCTGGAGCCGCCGGTGGATTAGGAGACCGTGAACGGTCGTATGTCGTGCCATGGGAGGCAGACTCTACGTTGGGAGCGCTGGAGCCGCCGGTGGAGTAGGAGACCGTGAACGGTCGTATGTCGTGCCATGGGAGGCAGACTCTACGTTGGGAGCCGCCGTGAAGCTCCGCTGAGCGCTGCTGCCGTCAACGTAGGTGGGGGTCGACGAGCACGTTGAGCGAGGTGTGTCCTGGATACTCGCATGAGCTGAAGGATCACAGCGACGAATGACTGCAACATCGGCACTGCCTTGTGAAAGTACAGGGCGTCGTACAATCACGGCAGAAAGGGGCGGCCCCGACCAGATTTGTTCCCGCGGAAACAAGTGCAGCGAGGCAGAAAATCTGGAATTTAAGCAAAACATAACTATGTGGCAAAGCCACAAAGTGCGGGAAGCATAATGTGTGGCCAATCACAAAGTATGGGAAGCATTAAGTAACTCAAAAACAGTATATTTTATTAAAGTTTATGAGATAAACAGTACGCTAAAAGGGAGCGAAAAGGCAAAGCCTTAAGCAAACACGTAACCATGTGGCAAAACCACAGAGTACGGGAGACATAATGTAACTCATAAACTTCGTATTATATTGAAGTTTATGAGAAGAAACAATTACGCTGAGAGGTAGCGAAAAGGCAAGGCTTTAAGCACACCAAAACAACATACATAAATGTAATGTATTACCCAAGCCAAAGAGAGAATTCAAAACGCAGAACACGACATTACGTGGCCACGTGGTGAATGACCAAAATGGCGGGAAAGAAAACAAAATGGCGGGAACAACATTGCGCCCGTAAATTACTGTGACGTGAGCCACAGACGAGCGATAAACGTTACAATTTACGAATGGGAAGACCCTAAGGTCACGGCCCATAACAGGTAACAATGTAGCAGCATATAATGAATGTAGAAACACGCAAAATATAAAAAACAAATAATAAGCTTTAATTTCCACAAGGGATACAAAGTACGTCCGTCCGTGGAGGTGACAAAGCAGTTATGTCTTTTGGTGTGACGTCATGACTTCCGGGTCACGTGCCGACTGTGAGAGGGCGCTGCCTCCTGGGCTGGTTGGGACAACTTTCTTCAGCAGCTGGATCTCACACAGTTCGTCTCTCTGTCAAACATAGCAGTAAATGCAATACGGAGTAATGCAGGATAAGTTAAAAAATTTACATGTCATGACTTCAGTTGTCTGCATTCTGCACGTTTTTTCTCTCCTACTCATTTGTTTTATAAAGCAACTAATGTATTGTTTCAATATACGGTATCCTTTCTGTTATTTCTTGCATTTAGATGGTTCATAAGAAAGAAAAAACATTCCTCCTCAGTTTTGGTTGAAAATGTGAAATATCGGAGTCATGATTTAACAATAACATAACTACTTATTCCCCTTCCTATTTAGCTCTTATGAAAATCATGGGACTCTTCTTAAAATGAAGATTCTGATAAAATTCCACTGTTAACTGTGCCATAGGACTATGCACTTACCTTGAATCACAGCCGAGTTGTCCTTGAGGAAGAACTTGTGCAGATACTTGGGGATGAACGAAGACAGGCAGGAGAAGGCTAATGCTGGAAGACGGCCACAAAGTCAGCAGCAAGTTAACGTACTAGAGATGACTACAATAACTTCAGAACAATATCCTTGGTATTTATAACTGACTAACTGATGTTTCTAACTGACATCAATATCGAAAATACATCAAAATTAACTATTAACAAATTAAATGAGATTTCCTGATAGTTTTCATAAAGATAAACAGAAACAAACAGTAGAACAAAAAAGAGCAGAGAGGGAGTTCTGGAGCCAAAGTTACTATGTGTTTGTTTGTTGTTAACACCACACTCAGCAATATTCTAGCTGTATGAGGGTGGCCTGTAGATAGTCTTGCCAATACAATCCAGTGATCGATATTGTGAGCAACAATCCATGCTGACAGGTTACGATGACACACAATCAGCCAAGTCACCGAGCCTGACCACACGACTAGCACAGGTTGCTGGGGAACAATTCTAACGCAGGGTGAGATTTGTGAGACATGTTTTGGGGTGGAGTGGGCAAGCGGTCAAAAGTGCCAGGTGCTGAGATCGTATCCCGCTAGTGACCGGGTTGTTATTCAGCCTTAGGACCCTAGGGTACAGTACATACACCCTGTACACTCAAAAGAACCCACTCGTCCGATGGTAGTTGACCAGATGGTGGAAACGAATACGTACATACAAACGAAACACAAGTGTCAAAACTTGTGGTGTCACTCTAGGCAAGTGACTTAGTTCAAATGTGCTTCTGTTCACCCAGCAGGGAATGGGTACCCGTTATGTGAGGTGAATGTAAAAACCTTCTAGAGCCCCTAGGTAGCTTGGGTTGTATACTCCCCAGGGAGTTGAGAATGATAACTGGAACGCAAAGATCCACTAGTCGGGGAACAAACAGAACCACATTTGAGCAGAAGCTGGTACCTGGATACCTGCTGTATATAAATGTATAATAATAATAACAATACCGTATTCGACGTAATAAGCGCCCCGCTCTAATAAGCGCCCACGGCGATATTTGTTAATATATTGGCTAGTGAACAATCCCAATTAGCACCCCTTCCGATTGATCCATGTACATAAGACTTATTTATTCGTGTATAGTACGCACTTGTGTGTTATATGCACCCTTAATTATGGGCAATTAAATTCTGGAAAAATATATCTGTCGTATATAAACATTTCAGGCTGTCACCAAAATACTATTCTAATAAGAGCCCCCTGTTTCTAATTTTGAGAGCGCCCTGGGCGCTTATTACGTCGAATACCGTAATAATAATAATAATAATAATAATATGTTTACCTTCATTGTTGAAGTTGAGGGCCAGGAAGGGGGCACACAGGGAGTCCAGCCCCTGCCAGTAGACATACTCCGGATGACTAACAACCCACGCCTTGAGGATGCGGCGGAACTTGGTGTGAGCTGCTGGTGACGACAGGAGTTCATGGTACTGGTGACAGCGCGGAATGTCAACCTCGATCTGTGGAAGGAATTAAACAAATGAGCACAGAGGCCATTGGACGAAGGCAGTGTGTGAACTATGTGTGTCAGCAATATTTCAATAACATATCAATGGCCTGTCAAAAAATCAACTTTTGGCCAGGCAAACCTGTGATATCAGCCAGGGTGCTGTACAAAACAACCTCAGCACTAAGTTGTGAGCCGTAAGTCTATGTAAGGTATGGGAGTTCCGATCACCTTAGCACTAAGATCGCTTTGTACTAGGGCTGGGACGGGTAACTCGGGTACTCGGGTCGCGTGGGTCCTGAGTAGGACCCGGGTACCAATAGGACTACCCGGACCCGTGGTTAGTCACGCGAGATATTGTTTAATGACAAAAATTATCTAAAACTCTATGGTTACAATATAAGTCACTTATGTTCCCATTTCTTTCTGACAATGCACCCATTCCTTCTGACTTTTATATGTTTGAATAAAAATATAACTTCATGCAGTAAACTTTTACAAACCTGTAGAGGTTATGAATTCTCTGATGAAATCCTCCTTGGGGCACTTATTGCATTTTCCTTGCTCAAGAAAATCTATATGACATAGTTGTAACCATTTTCCTTAATAAAAAATGTTACCACACAAAAAACTTCGTTTTTGTATGATATACGACCACCCTTACGGGGCCTCACCCCCAACGGCGCCTCACGCCAGGGGGAGCAACTCTCACCCAAATCACTTTCCATATGTCAAATGCTGAGGGAATGTGGGGAGGTGGGTGGCCGTGCCCCAAGGAGGATTTCATCAGAGAATTCATAACCTCTACAGGTTTGTAAAATTCTCTTTCTGATTAAATCCTCCTTGGGGCACTTATTGCATCAAGACAGACTCCCAAAGATAATCTAGGAAGTGGCATCCGTCAGCAACAGGCGTAAATAAATACATCGTATTTGATTATTCAACAGAATAAAATATTGAGTTCAATAAATGGAACCAACCTTATCGTGAGGCACCACCGTCGAAAGGCGGGGTCTAGAGACAGGGCGTGGTCGACCATATATTATGATAAAGCCTGTTTTTGCGGCTTGTCATAAGTTGAGAACTCGAAACACCTCCCACCCCACCCCCACACTTTTTTTGAACAAGTGATATAAGGGCGTAGATCACGAGAGACCATAACCAGCGCTGAGCTAGGCCAGAGGGTCCCCGAGGATCGAAGGAGTGCGTGCGCAAAATACGAGTATTATCGAGTAGTAAGGACTGATATTTATCGACCGCAGAAGATAAAATCCGGACCATTACTGAGCAGTATAACCGGAAGACTGTCTAAAATCTCGAATGCTCAATCAGCTAGAGATTAGAACTTTGCCCAGTTCGGAGAACTGACTGACCAAACCGAGTACGCTCGCTTGAGTGTTTGTCGAGTTGGTAAGGTTTGATGAATCGTGCTCGGCTGGCTCCAAATAGCCGCGGCGCAGATCTGCTCAATGGGCAGAGCCGCGGCGTACGCTTTTGACGCAGCCACTGCTCTAACCTAATGAGCCTTCAACCTGGTAGGGGGGTCCCTGCCTGTAAGCGTATACGCTGTACAAATGTTTGAAACTATCCACCTCGAGATAGATTGTTTACTCGCAGGTGAGCCAACCTTCCTACCGCAGTAACAGCAAAATAGTTGGTTATCCTTACGGACACCCATATTTCTGCTGATATAGGCCTTGAGAGTCGTGCGGACATCCAAGACATGAGCATGTCTTGCAGTGGTCCCCGACGAGGAAGGCTGTGAAAGAGCAGGTAGCTCAATAGGAGCCGTTCACGTGGAATCGTGTGCGACCCTAGGACGGTAATAGTCCGGTAGACGAAAACTTTTACAAACCTGTAGAGGTTATGAATTCTCTGATGAAATCCTCCTTGGGGCACTTATTGCATTTTCCTTGCTCAAGAAAATCTATATGACATAGTTGTAACCATTTTCCTTAATAAAAAATGTTACCACACAAAAAACTTCGTTTTTGTATGATATACGACCACCCTTACGGGGCCTCACCCCCAACGGCGCCTCACGCCAGGGGGAGCAACTCTCACCCAAATCACTTTCCATATGTCAAATGCTGACGGAATGTGGGGAGGTGGGTGGCCGTGCCCCAAGGAGGATTTCATCAGAGAATTCATAACCTCTACAGGTTTGTAAAATTCTCTTTCTGATTAAATCCTCCTTGGGGCACTTATTGCATCAAGACAGACTCCCAAAGATAATCTAGGAAGTGGCATCCGTCAGCAACAGGCGTAAATAAATACATCGTATTTGATTATTCAACAGAATAAAATATTGAGTTCAATAAATGGAACCAACCTTATCGTGAGGCACCACCGTCGAAAGGCGGGGGCTAGAGACAGGGCGTGGTCGACCATATATTATGATAAAGCCTGTTTTTGCGGCTTGTCATAAGTTGAGAACTCGAAACACCTCCCACCCCCCCACACTTTTTTGAACAAGTGATATAAGGGCGTAGATCACGAGAGACCATAACCAGCGCTGAGCTAGGCCAGAGGGTCCCCGAGGATCGAAGGAGTGCGTGCGCAAAATACGAGTATTATCGAGTAGTAAGGACTGATATTTATCGACCGCAGAAGATAAAAATCCGGACCATTACTGAGCAGTATAACCGGAAGACTGTCTAAAATCTCGAATGCTCAATCAGCTAGAGATTAGAACTTTGCCCAGTTCGGAGAACTGACTGACCAAACCGAGTACGCTCGCTTGAGTGTTTGTCGAGTTGGTAAGGTTTGATGAATCGTGCTCGGCTGGCTCCAAATAGCCGCGGAGCAGATCTGCTCAATGGGCAGAGCCGCGGCGTACGCTTTTGACGCAGCCACTGCTCTAACCTAATGAGCCTTCAACCTGGTAGGGGGGTCCCTGCCTGTAAGCGTATACGCTGTACAAATGTTTGAAACTATCCACCTCGAGATAGATTGTTTACTCGCAGGTGAGCCAACCTTCCTACCGCAGTAACAGCAAAATAGTTGGTTATCCTTACGGACACCCATATTTCTGCTGATATAGGCCTTGAGAGTCGTGCGGACATCCAAGACATGAGCATGTCTTGCAGTGGTCCCCGACGAGGAAGGCTGTGAAAGAGCGGGTAGCTCAATAGGAGCCGTTCACGTGGAATCGTGTGCGACCCTAGGACGGTAATAGTCCGGTAGACGAAAACTTTTACAAACCTGTAGAGGTTATGAATTCTCTGATGAAATCCTCCTTGGGGCACTTATTGCATTTTCCTTGCTCAAGAAAATCTATATGACATAGTTGTAACCATTTTCCTTAATAAAAAATGTTACCACACAAAAAACTTCGTTTTTGTATGATATACGACCACCCTTACGGGGCCTCACCCCCAACGGCGCCTCACGCCAGGGGGAGCAACTCTCACCCAAATCACTTTCCATATGTCAAATGCTGACGGAATGTGGGGAGGTGGGTGGCCGTGCCCCAAGGAGGATTTCATCAGAGAATTCATAACCTCTACAGGTTTGTAAAATTCTCTTTCTGATTAAATCCTCCTTGGGGCACTTATTGCATCAAGACAGACTCCCAAAGATAATCTAGGAAGTGGCATCCGTCAGCAACAGGCGTAAATAAATACATCGTATTTGATTATTCAACAGAATAAAATATTGAGTTCAATAAATGGAACCAACCTTATCGTGAGGCACCACCGTCGAAAGGCGGGGGCTAGAGACAGGGCGTGGTCGACCATATATTATGATAAAGCCTGTTTTTGCGGCTTGTCATAAGTTGAGAACTCGAAACACCTCCCACCCCCCCACACTTTTTTGAACAAGTGATATAAGGGCGTAGATCACGAGAGACCATAACCAGCGCTGAGCTAGGCCAGAGGGTCCCCGAGGATCGAAGGAGTGCGTGCGCAAAATACGAGTATTATCGAGTAGTAAGGACTGATATTTATCGACCGCAGAAGATAAAAATCCGGACCATTACTGAGCAGTATAACCGGAAGACTGTCTAAAATCTCGAATGCTCAATCAGCTAGAGATTAGAACTTTGCCCAGTTCGGAGAACTGACTGACCAAACCGAGTACGCTCGCTTGAGTGTTTGTCGAGTTGGTAAGGTTTGATGAATCGTGCTCGGCTGGCTCCAAATAGCCGCGGAGCAGATCTGCTCAATGGGCAGAGCCGCGGCGTACGCTTTTGACGCAGCCACTGCTCTAACCTAATGAGCCTTCAACCTGGTAGGGGGGTCCCTGCCTGTAAGCGTATACGCTGTACAAATGTTTGAAACTATCCACCTCGAGATAGATTGTTTACTCGCAGGTGAGCCAACCTTCCTACCGCAGTAACAGCAAAATAGTTGGTTATCCTTACGGACACCCATATTTCTGCTGATATAGGCCTTGAGAGTCGTGCGGACATCCAAGACATGAGCATGTCTTGCAGTGGTCCCCGACGAGGAAGGCTGTGAAAGAGCGGGTAGCTCAATAGGAGCCGTTCACGTGGAATCGTGTGCGACCCTAGGACGGTAATAGTCCGGTAGACGAAAACTGACTGTCCCGGTGATATTTATCGACCCCATGGAAGACAGTTATTTTGGGATCGGCTGACATAACACGAATGTCGCCTACCCGTCTGCCGGACGTTACCACCACAAGGAACGCCGTCTCCCAGCTCAACAGCTGAAGAGAGAGAGACGACAGATCCCGAAAGGAAGGACCGGACAGCCAATCTAGAATGATTGACAAGTCCCAAGGGGGACTGATCCGCCGGACTGGCGGTCGGATCCTGTCCACACCTGCTAAAAAGCGCTGCACTAATGGGTGTGCACCCAGAAGTGCCCCGTCGACAGGGACGTGAAAAGCTGCGATATCTGTAGAGTACCCTCGGACTGTTGATGCGGCCAGGCCGTCATCTAGTCGCGACTGGAGAAACTCAAGCACGGATACGAGATCTGCAGAAAAAAGATCTGCAATCCCTCTATCGACACACCTGGGCGCATAGCAGGCCTATCTATCGTA